GCCCCGCCCCCGATAGGTCCTGGGCCCTCCTTGCTGGGGCGCGTAATCGGCTCCGCCGGGGCGCGGCATGCCGGGAGTTGTAGTCTATCTTTTTAAAAAACTGCCTGTCGTTCCGATGCATGCTGGGAAGTGTAGTTCATCTGCACGAATTCCTGGCAAAGGGGTGGGCAAGGTCTCGGGAGCCTCGTGGCCCCCAGGCTAGGAGTGTGACTTTTGTTCTAATATGGTCACAAACCACTGGAGAGTTTTCAGGATGAAAGTACCTTGATCTGATTGACATTTTTTTAAATATCCTTCTGTTTGGTGCGCTGAAATGTGGGAAAGAAGACAAGTTTGTCTGCAAGGAGATCACTTAGGAGCACAGAGAATGAAGAGGGGAATTAGAGTGAAGGCAAAACCGAGTGGATTTGCCTGGTGCCGTACAGGTTCACAGGACCATAAAGGGTTCATAGGTTAAAGCTGGATGGATTGCTAACAGATTACTTATAAACCAGCTCTCATTACACTCCCGCTGCACCTTGTACACACTTCTAGCAAAGCCCTCCTCGCATTGCCCTCATTACATGCCCAGCCAGCCACACCTTAGCTTAGGATAAGAGTAACCGACTTTATTAGTTTTTGTACCCCAATATCTTGTATCCTGTAAATAGTTGGTGTTTAATAAATGTCTGCCAAATGAATGACCCATACTGACTATAAGGAGAGATTTTCTTCAAATTAGCTTAGATTTCATTAAAAACGTAAAACTCCTGTAGAAAACATAGAGGAAAGCGTCATGATATTGGATTTGGCAGTGATTTATTGTATATGACACAAAAAAAGCACTGGCAACAAAAGCAAAAATAGACAAATGGGACTACATCAAATTTTAAAACTTCTGGGTGTCAAGGAAAACAATCGACAGAGTAAAAAGGCAGCCTATGGATTGGGAGAAATATTTGAAATCATATATCTGATAAGGGATTAATATCCAGAATATATAAAGAACTCTTACAACTCAATACCAAAAAAAACAAAAACACACACAAATAATCTAATTACAAAATGGGCAAGGACTCGAATAGACATTTCTCCAAAGGTGTACAAATAGCCAATAAGATTATGAAAGGATGCTCAACATCATTAATCATTACAGAAAGGCAAATCAAAACCATAGCGGTGATGGATTCATAATATATGCAAATATCAAATTATGCTGTACACTTGAAACAAATTAATGTTCTATGTCAATTACATCTCAATAAAGTTAAATAAAATACAACTACACAAAACTATAATTAAATATCTTTTCATGGACACACAATGTATAGAGATGTAATATGTGGCAGGAATAATACAGTGAGAGGGACAAACCTACATATAATAGCAAAGTTTTTGTATACCAAAGAAACTAAGTTGCTATTATAAATTAAGATGTTATAAATTAGATTGTCATAAATTAAGATGTGAATTATAATTTCCAGGACAATCATTAAGAAATTAACTATAATTAAATCAAAATCACAATGAGATACCATTTCACACCTACTAGGATGACTGTAATTAAAAAACAAAAAGCCCTGTGAGCATAGCTCAGCGGTTGAGCATCAACCTAGGATCCAGGGCATCAAGGTTCGATTCCAGGTCAGGGTACATACCTGGGTTGCCGGCTGCATCCCCAGCAGGGGACCTACAGGAAGCAGCCCATCAATGACTCTCTCATCATTGATGTTTCTCTCTCTCTTCCTCTCTGAAATCAATAAAGATATATTTTTTAAAAATGCTTCTAAAAACAAAACAAAACAAAACACAGAAAAAGACAGAAAACAAGTCAGGGAGGGTATAGAGAAATTGGATTCCGACATTGCTGGTGGGAATGTAAAGAGCACAGCTGCTGTGGAAAACGGTTTGGTTGCTCCTCAAAAAGCTTAACATTGAATTACCACATACCCAGCATATATACTCTTACGTATATACCCAAGAGAACTGAAATCAGGTATTTACAGAAAAACCTGTACACAAATGTTTATAGCAGCAACATTCTTAAGAGCTAAAAAGAGGAAATAATCCTAATGTCAATCAACTAATGAAGTGATAAATGTGATGTATCCATACAACAGAATACTAATCAACCATAAAAGGAATGAGATACCAATAGTCAAACCTGGGAAACAAACTATGCTTAGTGATAGAAGCCAGACACAAAAGGTCACATATTGTATGATTCCATTTATATGAAATGTCCAGAATAGGCAAATCCATGCAGACAAAAATGTAGTGTTTTCCAGGGCCTGGGGAAACAGAGGAATGGGGAGCAACAGCTTCATGGGCATGGGCTCTCGTTTTGGGCTGATGAATGTTTTCGAACTATATAGTAGTGATACTTGCACAACACTGGAAATGTACTAAAAGCCACTGAATTTTATACTGTAAAATAGGTAAAGTGGTCAATTTTGTTATGCAAGTTTTACTTCACCTTAAAAAATAATTGAATTATACACTTACCATGGATGCATTTCATTATAAATTATATCTTAGAATTTTTAAAAAATAATGATATTCTTATTCAAGAATCTTTGTCCCTTTTTGGCCATTTGCTCTTTCATTTTAATTTTACACTCAACTTTTTATATTCCTTCAAATAACCTATGTCCACTCAAATTAATGTTGGTCGTAAATGACAAAAACCTCAACTAATGGTGATTTAAACAAGAAAGGAGTTTCTTTTTCTCTCTTTCTGTTCCTAGAACAAGTCAACTTTTCTGCTTTAGGGCCTTTGCACTCTCTCTACCTGAAACTCTCCTCACAACCAGTTCCTGTTACTATCCTTTAGGTCCTTACATGTCACATTCTCAGAAAGGTATGAACAGAAAGTGAAATGTGCCACTACCACTAGGTGGGGCTGTACCATTAAAGAAGGAAGGACGTTTTCCCTGGAGGGTGTGTCCAATGGTTAGAGCATGTGCCTGTGCACCTGTGCACCCAAGCGTTGGGGGTTCGATTCCCCAACAAGGGCATGTACCTGGGTTGCAGGCATGATCCCCACCCCCAGTCGGGGGCATGAGGAAGGCAGCCAATCAATGTGACACATCAATGTTTCTCTCTCCCCTCTCTCCCCACCCCCTCTCTTCCCCTTTCTCTTAAAAAGTAATGGAAAAAATATCCTCACTCCTTGGGTGAGAACTTAAAAAAAAAAAGTTTAAAAAAAGAATTTCAAGATGGCAACAGTAAAGCATTAAATCAAGTGTAGGGCCCTGTGAGCACAAAGCCCTTTGTGAATACACAGATTGTATACCCATGAAGCCAACCTAAATGTAGAATAGTATTCTATGATGAAATTATAGACTAATAACTATGCTGCCTGGCCTATGCTGTGATGCTGCTGCAGGGCCCTTCAGCCTATTTTCATTCTTTGTGGTACATTTTGCATGCATGGGATTAAATTACATTTAAAAAGTAACTGGGCATCGACTGTACTTGTGCTACGTGCTATAAGGAATGGTTGCTCAAGTTTAATATATTCACACACATACTAATCTAATAAAAAAAAAAGATGCTACAAAAGTTACAATTATAATTCTTTCACTATCCTCACAAGACCCAGAGGCAGGGCAGGGACTGAAACTTGTAGGCACACAATAAATATGTGCTGAATGAACGACAGGAGGGTTCAGTGGGTGGAGAAGGGAAATATCAGGAAAGGCTGAAAGGCAGATGGTTAGCTAGGATTCTGAAAGCCATAGGATGGCCAGGAAGGGCGTTGTAGACAAGGGGAAACGGCAATGGAAGCAAAGGGCTGTGTATAACTTATTTATTATTACCTTTCGATGCAACTGTAAGCTCCATAGAAGCAGGCATCTTTCCTGTTTCTTCATAGCTGTACCCAGTGCCTGTGAAATCGTTGGCCTGCAATAAATATTCATTGCGTAAATGCAGGCCAGTGCTGCTCTGTGAAAAGCAGAGTAAACACACCGGGTGGAGGGAGGAGGTGAAGTTAGAGTCAAGTTGACCAATCCTTTGAATTTCAGAGTGAGAATCTATACTTTATTCATCGTTCGGATAAGAACCATTGAAAGGAGTAGTGACATCATATGAACTCTAAACAGAAAATAAATCAGTAGTGTGTTAACATCTCAGGGCCTTCTCTTAATTCCATCTCCTCTCCTCCCCTCTTCATACTACAACACACGACTTAGGCTGCACCTTAAATGAGAATATTCAAAACCCCATTAACAAGCAAACAGAAACTAAACCCGGCAGGGTGGGGTTTTTGTTTTTTCTTTTCTTTTCTTTTTGACTGTCCCTTTACTTGAGTCTCCTTGACTTGAAGATGCACTTTTTGGTGCAAATACATGTTTAATAAAATTCTGAGCCAAGACGGAGCCTTGCCCTGGACGTGCTCAGCAGAGTAGCTGTCGAAAAAGGCATAAGGTGAAACGATTTCCAAACGGACACGATGGTTTGGTGACCTGGGCGAGCCCATCCGTCCCTGCCTTTGGACACCCAGCCTCTTCGTCGGCCTCCAGGACGTGGGTAATTAGGTCAGGAAGGCAAGCAGCAGTGGCAGGGTGTTTTTATGCTTTGTAAGTCGTCCCAAGTACCTACAGCTTTTTGGTTTTGTCAAGATTCTCGGCCAAGGCTAACTCTGCACCAGCACAGAGGTGTGGCTCGAACGGCTGGAATCAGACACACAAACCCAAGTTTGTCAACACGGGCACCGGCGGAAGCCTCCCCGCCGCCGCCGCGTGCACGTGTTCGCACAGTTGGAAACAATAAAGTTGAGCTTGTTCAAACGGGGGGGTCCTTGACACCCAGGGCCCGGTGGATGTGCCTGTGAAATAAGACTTCGAGAAACCACCTGATGGTTTTTCAAGCTTGCTCGTTGTTGTCGGTAGTTTTTTCCCCTCGCTCGCGGGACAGAAGCGCTGCGGGGAGCGGCGTGGGGCAAGCCGACCGGGGCGCGTTTCGGGCGCAGCTGGCCCGGCGATTGCCGCGGGCAACCCCGGGGAGGACCCCGGTTCAAGGGAAGCCGGGTTCCAGGGCTGAGGCGGCGACGACAGACGCGATGAAGCCCAGGCCCGCGGGTTTCGTGGATAATAAGCTGAAGCAGCGAGTCGTCCAGGTGCGTGTTCTGCTCCGCGGGGGCCTCACGGCGGTCCGCGTCCGCTGTCCAAGGGCTCCTTCCTAGGGCGGCTCCCACGTCGGACTCGACTAGCCGCCCGCCCTCGGTCCCGGTCCGGGCGTGGGACTCGTGGCATGTCGGCTCCTCCGCCGGCGGTGCGGGGCCTGCCCTCCGGGCTGTGGGCGGAGCGGCTAGAACCCGCCCGCGACCGTGGGAGGTGCAGTCAGGGGCCCTGCCCGGCTCTGCTGGACCTCGGCCCGGGTCAGTGAGGAGGCCGGAGGTAGCCTTTGAGTTAAAAATCTTCCTGTAGCGACGTTAGGACAGAAACGGTGTTCGGACCCCTCCCCCGCGCTGTACGAGGCGCTTTGGGGGCCACAAAGCATTTCCGTTTTCCAGAAACTTGGGGTCAGGTTGGGATACAGTACAAATAGGTGGATGTGACTATAATACGCACTTTACCTAAGGTGGCTTTTTTGTGTGTGTTTTTTTTTCATTTTCATGGTCATCCGCAGAAAGCAGTGTGTGCTGAGTGTCTTGGAATGAATGGTACCGTTAGCGAGCGGTCTCGTTTAGGAGGAGGGAGAGATTTTTCTTTCCATTACACGTTGGGAGCTGTAATCTTTTATTGTTTTTCGTTTGCCTTACCGGCCGCTCTACGGTCTTCTTTTTGGAACTGCCTCCTTAAGTGTTGGAAGTGCCCTGCGTGCTGTGCCCTTACCGCAGAAATATGTTTTCGTTTGTTTTTAGAGGAGGAAAGGGGAGGGAGGGAGAGAGAAACATCGATGCGAGAGGGATACATCCATCAGCTGCCTCCCCAGCAGGGATCATAACTGCATCGCCCGCATGTGCCCTGGTGGGGAATCCACGTGGAAGTTATGTAGACGTGCTGGGTTTGGAATCTGGACCTAAAACTTAGGAGCTTCTGAGGAAGTAGTTGACTATAGTAAATGACAGCATAGGATGGGAGTCCAGTGAAGGGAAAGGTTAACTGGAGCAGTGCAGCTTTTGCTAGCTAGTCCCTTGTCATTGGAAGCATTTACGTAGAGAGCGTTATCATATGTTAGGGATTCTTGAGAAGAAATTGCTCTATCAAGTGGGAGACTTGGGCTGGATGGCCAGCAGGTATATTTATGGTGCTCTTAGACCCAAAAGTAATACCCGATAACCGCAATTACTTACGAGTGGGATTTATGTGCCTATGGGACAGCTTCTCATACCTTGCCCTCAGGTTGTTCCAACTGCCACTCTCATCCTGTTCCACATTGATTTTTGCATGGGATTTTCTTTTTATTATAGCAACTGCTGAAAACCCGGTTTTGCAAAGATATGACATCGTCAGATGGTGATTTAATATTGAAGCTATGAATTGTCTCAGGCTGTAATTCCTGCAGTGTTGGGCAGATATCAAATATTACCATGTTCCCTCAAATTTAAAGTATCCCTTGGTGCCCTTGGGAGTTTAGTGCTTTGTTCTGGGGTATTTGGGAACCTAGAATATAGTAAGTACTCACTACCTTATAGCTGTTCTAGTTATTGTTTTCCTGTGTCATAATGATTGATAGTTTTAATTAAATTCTCTGATTCCAGATGTGACAGTCATTTAGTGATTTTTAGTTATGTTTCTGGTATGCTTTATTAAGAGTTTATATTAAATATAACGTGTTTGAGTAGTTCAGTCTCTTATTTGTCAATTAAAACCCCTGAGTTTGAAATATTGGGTGTTTATATTTATCATATTTTCTGTTTAGTACCTCACCAGTAACAGATGTGGCAAATACGTGGACACTGGAGTCTTAGCATCTGATTTACAAAGAATGTACAGGTAAAGAAATGGAGCGTACAGATTCTTGCTGTTCTTTTCTACCATTTCCCCCCATTGTTGTTGTTTTGTTGTTTCTTTCCTACCATTTTTTAAGTTTCCATTTTGCCTAAATTTCCACTTGATGTTAATAGTTCAAGTGGCATTAGTTCTCTAGTCCATAAGTTTGGAGTTCAGTTCAATTATACAAACATCGGATAGACATTCAAAGGGAGAAATTGCAAAGAAGAAAGGGGTTATGGTCTCAAGCAAGTCTGAAATGTAGCAGGGTGAGTTCCACTAGACTTTAAGAATAATCCTCTGGCTAAGTGCTCTGTCCTGTGGGCTCACTAGGGTGGCTGCCCTGCCCTTTGGTACAGAGGAGGAGACAGTGCCACTCCACAGGCCTGTGCTCCCTGGGTCCCTGATGGCAGTGGCAGCTTTGCCAACCTCTGAACTTCCTTGGAAGTCATTCTTCCTTTTTCTTTAAGGAGAATGCATATTCACAGCTGAATAGTTCTTTTGGCCTGTTGTGTAGAATCCCAGAAGTCAGCAGCCTTCCTTCATTTCATCCGTCTCTGTCCCCTTCAGTACAAGCTGGCTGTGTTTCTGATGCTATAACCCCATTTCTAATCAAGAAAGATTACAGTAGTAAAAATGTAAACTCCAAAGTTGTTTGGAAATAGGTTTATGTTCAATGTAAATTCAATGACATAATTACATATTCATGCAAATTTGTGTCGGGGCGACCGCTGTACTAAACTTCTGTTATGTTTTTCAGCATAGACTATGGTCGAAGAAAAAGAAATGCCTTTAGGATTCAGGTAGAAAAAGGTGAGTCTATTAGTGTTAGAACTGAAGTACTAATAAAGTTCTGGAAAGGACGGTTTTAGCTTACGGCATTTTTCTTTTGTTTCAGTATTTAGTGTAATTAACAGTGAGAAGGAACGTAGGAATGTAGCAGAATTAGAAGATGAACATCTGGCAAAAAGAGCAAGAGCAGGTGAAGAGGATAATGAGTAAGGATGACGGAGCGGGGGGCTTCCCCGGCGTGAGCCTCGGCTCGTTATGTTCCCACTCTAAAGCCTTAGTGGCTCCTCCTTGCCGAGCGGGCGTTGCATAACGCTTTCCTAGCCGCCCCAATCCTTAACCCCAGACACGCTGAATGCTCACTGTTCCCCAAAGAAGTCTGAAGGCATTGAGGTTATATGGCCTCATATATTCGTTGGAAAGTGCACTTTGTCTGTATTTTATGAAAAAGTTTGTGTAGTGTTACTGTCATTTCACCTCTTTTTACTCAGGTATACTGAAAGCTATTCGGATGGTGATTCAGATATGGAAGATTACCCAGATCCACAGGTAAGCCAGACATTTAATGGACCTACTTTGATTTATTAAAAATCATAATGAACCGCCTTTAGAATGAGAGCCTTTTAACATCTTCATCAGGAAACAGTTGATACTTCCTGTGTACAGTGGTAGTGAGCTCTTGGGTTAACCATCTTTCCCGTAGTTGTTTTTATAGTCTACTATGCAGGGAAAAAGAAGGGAAGGGAAGGAAATGGCCAGAAATAAGGGCAGACATGAACAGAAAGGGGAATTAATAGTAAACATGAAGAAAAAGATACATTTTCTGCCAGAGTTAGCATTACCAATAAATAGACTTGGATTAAAGGGAAGCATGGGAATAATATGTAAAATTATTTGTAACTTACTTTCTATTTTTTTCCCATTGGCAATTCAGTTTTTGAATTTATTAATAGTCATAATGATACTCATCTATTTTTGAATTGACGGAATAGTAGTGACTCTCATTGACTGACTGCCAGCTCATTTTCATACTTGCTTCTGTTATATTTTTAAAAAGCAACCATTCTTATTTGGTTTTATTTAACTGCGAATTATGAATTGGTACATTAACTTGGAGTGGCAAGTGGATACACTTTTCTGGATAGTAAATGTTTGTGATTGAATCATTTCATGGCAAATACCTATTTTTCAGTGTTATGAGAGAAGTTGTTGAAGTGCAATGTAGAAAACTTACAGGCAATCAAACATGAATACCTTTGAGTAACTTATGCTAAAATCATGTTTCTCTCAGTTGGCAAATCACATGAACACTTCCCTGCTCTCCTTATATCGGAAAGGAAATCCTGATTCTGTTGTAAGTACTCCCGAGATGGAGCAAAGAGAAACCAGTGTTTCAGCACCACCAACAGCTTCTAAAACCTGCTCCATTCCTTGGAAGACCCCTACTAGCGGCTCTGAAGGAGGATGGTTTATTGACAAAACTCCAGGTGGAAAGAAAGACAGTTTTTTCTTGGACATGTCAGAGGAAACAAGTAATCATAAGACAGTATCTGCGATAGAGGTATTTTTATAGTGAAATTTTAGCCCCACGTTGTTAGCGTACATTAGAGTCTTTTCATCGAATATAGTAAGCAGATTTTTGTGTTAAAGAGAAAATAGGAACTTGAAATACGTGTAGAATTTCATCACTTCCTACTACTGCCATCATTTCCATCCTAGTCCATGCCTCTACTCTTTTTTTAAAAACCATTATACTTTTTTTTATTACAGTTTATAATGCCTCTAGTCTTTCTTGCTTTAACTATTGAAATAACTTTCCAACTGGAGTTTGCTTCCACTCTTGTTCCTTAGTTTATTTTTCACACAGATATCTTTTTTATGAGTTAAGTGAGATCATTGTCATTCTTGTATTAAAAATCCTCCAGTGGCTTCTGTTAGTGGAAAATCAAAACCCTTGCAATTGCCATTAAAGCCCCGTATGATTGATCCTCCCTGCTGCCTCTTAGTTTCATCCACTGCCCTCCCCCTACACCTGCCAGCTTTGCTTTAGGTACAGTGTACACTCGCTGTTATAACACACCAAGCACCCTCGCACTTGGGGCATTTGCATTTGTCCTTTCTGTCTGGAACACTTCCCAGATTCAGGTGGTTCCCTCCATCATTTCTGCACAGCTCTTTCCATATGTCATCTTCACTGAGAGGCCTTTTCTGACATGAATGTAAAACAGCACATCATTGGGTGCTCTGTTTCCTAACCCTGCTGATTTTTTTTTTTTAAGACTTAAAACCACCTGTCTTGTGTAATTGTGTACTTGGGTTTTTTTTTTGTCTCTCTTCACTAGAAATATCTGCTCCAAGAGAGCAGGGGCTTTGTTTTGTTTCATAATGTGTCCCTGGCTAAAATACATGTAGCATGTAGTCTTCAGTTCATTGAATTTGTGCCTAATGAACTTTCGGAGATGCATTTACTAGTGAGAGTTAAAGAATTATTACTTGGGGATGTGTTACAGAAAGTTGATAGTTGTAGGAAGTAGGGAAGATAGCTGTTAAAATATCGATGTGGTTTATTTTCACTTTAGGGTAATACCTTAAGGGATCCTACATAAATGGATGCCCTATAAAAATGTATAGACTGGCCCTGGCCAGTTTCGCTAAGTGGTCAGAGCATCGGCGCACTGACCGAAGGGTCCCTAGTTCGATTCCTGACAAGGGCATGTACCTCAGTTGGGGGCTGATCCCGATCCCCCAGTCGGGGCATGTGTGAGAGGCAACCAATTGATGTGTCTCTCTCACATCCACGTTTCTCTCTCTCCCCCCCCCCACACCTCCCACTGTCTCTGAAAAGAAATGGAAAAAATATCCTCAGGTGAGGATTAAAAACATTTTTTTAAATGTAAAGAATAAGTAAACACCCAATTTTTTTTTAACCTTTTAAAATTGAAATATACATAAAGGAAAGTGAAGTTTGATGAGTTAACGTGTACTGAACAAATTGGACATCATTCTTAACTGATTCTTTTTAATACGTGGCAGAATGAGAGGGGATTTAAAGTAATTTCTCCCATAATAGACTGGCTATCTTTGACCCAGGGCTCACTGTCCAGTGTGGTAAGTGCTGGCCGCATGTGGCTGCTTAGCACTTTAAATTTGGCTAGTGTACATGAGGAATTGAAATTTAAATTAAAAAAAAAGTAGTTAATTCATTTCTTGACAATTCATTTCTAAGTATGTTTGGGACAACATAGGTAAGTGAATCTACCTTTTCAGCTGTAAATTTTATGAAATCTAAATACACGTCAAGTATTTCCCATGAAAATTACTGTCTGACTTGAGATGTGCTATAAGCATAAAGAACATGTTGGTCTTTGAAAACTTACTACAAAAACAGTACAAAGCATCTTGTTCAATTTCTGTACTGATTATATTGAAATGAATATATTTGGTTAAATAAAATAGATTATTAAATTAATTTCACTTTTTTCCTTTTTTAAATGGGACTCTAGAATATATAAATTTGCATATGTGGCCCACATTGTATTTCTCTTGGACAACTCGTCTCTAAGTGATTCCCAAGAACCAAGCCTTTTGGTTTGCCAGACATTTCTTCTTTTGAATCATCAATGGACCTTTTCCTGTTCTCTTTGCTTTAATCATCCAGGATTCAAAAGAGTCATCTCTTCTGGAGAGTAATAAAAAAAAGAAAAGCAAGTTAAAGAGCAAAGGAAGCAAAAGGAAACAAGGGGATACTCAGGAAGTAGATGGAGAAATAGAAGCTATCCTGCAAAAGAAAGGTGAGCTGCGGGTCTGGGAGGGGTGGTGCTTGTGTGTGCTTTGAGGGAGGCATCACTCTTCCAAGCTGATTTGCTTGGGGGACCTTCCTTGTGCAGAGATGTTTATTAGAAAATGTTTCAGTAGCTAGTGCACCTTTGTTTACTGAAGAATTTTTAAATATAATTCTGAGTTACTACTGAATCACTGATCTTTTCATTTTCTCCCTCTTTGTTTACCAGCTAAAGCCAGGGCGCTAGAATTCCAGATCTCCAGTGTGAAGTTTGAAGATGTTGGAGGCAATGATACTACATTAAAGGTTATTAGGATTCAGAATTTTACTTCCAGTGGGTTTATTGCCAATGAGTTATGTAAACCAAGTCTGCCTCTTTGTTTCTAATAGGAACTAGGTATAGAAAAGGAGACCAGGAAGGTGAGAAGAGCAAACGTAACTTGTACCCTTCAGGGTATTGAGGGATAAAAGAAGCATAATACCTTCAACGTTGTCACTACTTTAATTATAGTGTGTATAAAGCTAGATACTTTATAAGTAATATTATTTAAAAATAATGATTACTATTTTTTAGTGTCTATTGCAGTTACCATGCTAGTTAGCTTTCATTCCATCTACAAGGTAGACATTAGGAAATGGAAACTCAGACATATTATTGCTGAAGTCACACAATAGGTGCCAGAGCTAGAATTCAGGCCTACACTCTCCCTGCTATATTTTGCTGCTCCAAAGAATAGGACATTTCATTCCACATTGATTCTTTCTCTTTTGGGCTGGGAAAGATGTCTTTGTTCTTTCTTCCCTGCTAGGAAGTCTGCAAGATGCTCATACACATGCGTCACCCGGAGGTGTACCAGCACCTGGGCGTCACACCCCCTCGTGGTGTTCTCCTCCATGGACCACCAGGCTGTGGGAAGACATTACTTGCACATGCAATCGCTGGGGTGAGGCTTGCTGACACTTGGGTGCTTTTGTTATTTTTGTTGTTATTTGTTTGTTTTTTCTCTTTGGTCAACTTGAACCAGACTTGGCATATTCTCAGGAGGACTGATTCCTTCTTCATTTTTTTACCTCTTTCATGCTGCTGTTTGTGAGATGCTGTTTTTTTAAATGTATTCAGTTATTTGTGTGGCAAGGATTAGATGGGGAGCAAAATCATACAGCTCTGAAAAATCCCCCCCTTTTTAGTACTTTTACATTTTAGTTCTTTCTCTTTAAGCCAGTGGTTCGAAAGGGCAGTGAAATAAGAAAGCCAAGGATGTAGCGTTTCTTATAGAGCTATATTTATTCAAAATTTTCATTCATGGTAATGGTCTTATACTTTTTAGGGTTAAAATATCCTTTCTAAAATAGATGCTTGGCAAAATAAAAAGTTATTATCTTATTTTAGTCCCATCATATTTTTCAGAAACTGTATTAGGTGGTAAAATGCAAAATGTCTGAGTAACTTCAGTTTGAAGAACAGGATGCTGTGCTGATCACTAATAGATTAGTATTCTGTGAAACAAAATCCTTTATGTAGGAGAACTTGATGGAGTTGCCTCACTTATTCATTTGTTGGATAAATCTGTTGTGTGACTGCTGTGTGCCAGGCATCAAAATACAGTACAACAAACCCAGTTTTCATCTTTAATGAGTTTTTCAGTCTAATGTGAGAGACAGACATTAAACAGTCATCGAAGCAAATAAATGTCTACATAGTTACAATGGTAATAAGTGAGAGACAGAAGTGCAAAATGCCATATGATTGTTGTTGAGATACCCAAGTTAAGAGTTGGGGTCAAAGAAAATATGGTTGCGAAGTGGAATATTAAGATGGCCCAAAGAATGTTTAGGATTTGGGCAGGCTTGTCGCTATTTGTATAGGTGGGACAGGGGTAGTTTCTGTTTCTCTACTTGAAGACCAGTAACTGGCTACTTGTCTGGATTAGGGATAGAGAAGTGCTATTAGAGTGTATGGGGGACAACTGTGTCACAACCCCTGCTATTTCCTCTCCAGCAGGTAAATTTGTTTTGGCTCATTTCTAAGTGGAGGAAATCATAGCTCTTGAGATTCAAGACCCTTTATTCAGAAGAGACGATAACAGTTTTATAGTGATATCTGTAAAGTAAAAACAAGTAGAAGGTATCTTCTCAATGTGTTTGAATAAAACCGTAGATTTTTAAATAAAGTTTTTTATCGAACCAACACAAAAAGATATTCCTCAGGAAATTAGTCATTTTAAAAATGTAATTTTGAGAAAGGGACTGACTAAGGAAAAAGTAGGGAAGTTAAAATTCACAAGTTTGGTCATTCTTTTATACATTTGTGTGCAGGAACTTGACTTTCCAATTCTAAAGGTGGCTGCTACAGAGATTGTGTCTGGAGTATCTGGAGAATCTGAGCAGAAGCTGAGAGAACTGTTTGAACAGGCTGTGGTGAGTCAGCTGATGACTAATGTCAGGCTGTCACACTGTATAAGGTTATATTGAAGATCCTGTTTTCTCTAATGCTAGTGTTTTTCACCCATTCACTGGCCTTTCTTTTGTAAACATGGTAATTTTTGCTACTCATGACGGCTAAATATTTACACTTGATCTTAGCGAAAATGCAGAGAAGTGACGGCTAAATATTTAAGGCAGGTTTACTGATGCAGACCATTGGATACAACAGTCTATTCATCTGAAACCAAGCGTAAGTATAATTGGTGAGAGAAGTTCTAGGCTGTCATACCTGGTAGTGTATGTGGAAAATAGATTATCCTTGTGATAATTTCACTTTTGTTTCCCACAATTTAGGTTTCCCAAACAACTTGTAAGCATGTGAACATTTTCAACATTAGAATTATCACATAAAAGCAACCATAGACATGCTAGCATAAACTCCTCTCTGTTTGCATAATTGAAGCTGTGAAAAGAAAATTCTGTCACCAAAGAAATTACAGCTTGGATTTTATCCTAGTTGTAATTCATGTCATTAAATTTGTGTGTTTAAGAACTTCTGAGGAAGATGACGTGTGCATCCAATTAAAGTTTTCTCTTCAGTGTAGTTTCCTGGTTAATTGTCTCTACTTTCAGGTCTGAAACCACTCTAACCCTTAGTTTTCTTACTAATAAACTAGGTTAATAGTACTACTTAGATCTCATGGGGTTATTGAAAGCAATAAATGAGAGGATTCTTCTAAAACCTTTAATGTTTAGTGCCCAGCACACAGCAAAAGCCTGTAAACATGCACACTTGGGCAGTCACTAGTCATCACATGGGTTAAAAAATTGAAAACTAAAGATGGTGGAAAGATTCATTTTATGTCTTTTGTACCCAGAATATATAGGAATTGGTGAAAATGGCCAGTGCAACTGCTAAAAGCTGATGTGAAGTTAAAAGAGAAATTGTATTTTAGCAGGAAATATCTTTTAAAATAGCAAGAATGTAGAAACCATCTACTTGGTTTGATGTGTAGACTGACATTGAAAGAGGTGTGGACAATACAAGGAAGGTGCAGAGAAAGGCTGGGAAGGGCACTGCAGAGCAAAGCTGAACTCTCAGGTGTACCTGTTTTCCAGAGTGAGCTGATAGATCATACTATTTGTGTTTATGGTAAACACTATGGTGAATGAAGAAGGTAAAAGAGACAGATGGCACCTTTAGGTCGTGTGGCTCTCTCTGAACCAGTGCTGAGCTTATTCTTTTCTCCCTCTTTCTCATTCAGTTTTCCAGGCCACTAATAAATAGTATGTGCTTGCTTTCTGGGACCTTTTGTCTCTGAAATGCGCCTCTTGTAACTGGGTCATGTATCCAGTAGTCAAAAGTGCTTCTCTGCAAACATTGTCATGGGGGGATTAGGAGGAGAGCCCCATAGTGATGCGCCAGATCTCTTTCCTTTGAAATTGCAGTGGTCCCCGTGGATTTGCATCTTAGCCAGGCTGAGAATCTGACTCGTAGCATAATCAGTGTCACTCCTTGCCACTGAATAACTAAGAATGAGCTGTGCTTTAGGTTATATATAGATATTTTATTTAAGGTTTTCATTTTGACAGATCCTCATTTGTTTATTTTGGGGGGTGAATATGTTTGCGTTACCATTGTAAACACTTTAAAGTGTACAGTTCTGTGGTATTAAGTACATTCATGGTTATGTAGCCATCCCCCTCCATCTTCAGAAGTTTTCGTCTTTACCATCTGAAGCTCTGCCCATTAAACACTAGCTCCCCATTTCCCCTCCTTCCAGCCCCTGACAACCACCATTCCACTTCTGTCTCTGTGAGTTTGACTACTCTAGGTAGTTGGTGCTTATATCTTAACTTATTCTACCTTAACTCTACCTAGTTTATGTTTTAAAAAAGACTAAGGATGATCATTACCCACACTGATATAGGGGAACTTTGCCATCTTTCCTGACTCAGTGTAGTCTTCAAAATAAGCCTCTTGTAGTTTCAGTGCTGGGTGATGGTTAAGTTCTGGAGATGGATGGTGGTGATGGTTGCATAACAGTGTGAACATATTTAACATTAAATGTACACTTAAAATGGTAAAAATAGTAAATGTTATGTGTATTTTACCACACACAAACAATTTAAAGGTAAAGCCTCTGGTGCTTCTTAAATGCCTCTTACAGCAGATTCTAGGGAAAAGCTTGGATATTTTTGTGTAGGTAGGAACACACAACATATGTAGTAAGCTTAGATTTCCTAATTTGAAGTTTATAAACTTATATTTTTATAGCATAGCAAATATGCCTGACTTATAAAAGAATTGTGGTAGATTTATCATCAGAAAACATGGATTGATGAGAGGACTAAATGTGTTCTATACAGGTCTTTTAAGCATCTCATTTCTCTTAAGTCACATAAAAATCAGAAGCAATACGCTGTGAACTACCTTCTTTAGGATTATTCTTTTGGTGAATGATCCTTGAACTTTAAGATTTTTAAAAATGTATGTAGTTAACTATGCTGCAAAGTATAGGAAGCATATTTATGTTTGTCTTTTGTGATACTCTTTCTAGTCAAATGCACCCTGTATCCTTTTTATTGATGAAATTGATGCCATTACCCCCAAAAGAGAAGTTGCTTCAAAAGATATGGAACGAAGAATTGTAGCCCAGCTCCTAACCTGCATGGATGGTCAGTTTAAAATGATGAATTCGCTTGAGAAAGTAAATTATCTTTGTTTTTAATGGTGTAAGTAATATATGAAGATATAAAACATTCAAATAGAATGAAACTCAGAGTCAAAAACAAATCTTTTTTTCCCCCCATAAAAGATTACATCATTAATTTAATTTTTTGGAGTGTAACTTATAGTTCTTTTTGATGAGTTTACACACATGTATAAATACACTAACATATTGTTTTGCTTTTTTACAATATTGCAATTATACCATACACATTGTTCTATAACTTGCTATTTGTATCTTGACAATGTCTTGGAAATGTTGCCATTTTGATACAGTTATATTTACCTACCCCTGCCTTTTTTTTTTAATCCTCAAGGTTGTGCTTTTATTTATTTTTTGAGAGAGAGGAATGGAGAGAGTATGAGAGAGAAACATCAATTGGTTGTCTCCCGTACATGCCCCAACCAGGGGTAGACCCACAACCTAGGTATGTGCCCTGACCGGGATTCGAACCCACAGCCCTTTGGTGTACGGGATGACACTCCAACTACCCGAGCCACCCGGCCAGGGCTACCTCTTTTTAATGGCTACCTGGTATTTTTTAGGATAGAATAACCATATTGTATTTAAGTATTCCCATTTTGAGGTTATTTTAATTGTTCTGTTTTTTTGCTTTATAACAAGCTGTAGGGAATATCCTTAAACAGTTCTTATTGGTGCACTCCTATATTTCTAGGATACATAAATATAAAATAAATAAATATAAAAATAAAAAAAAGTACACATTCTGAATTTTCATAGGAAATGGCAGATTACCTTCAGAAAGATCCTGCAGTATACATTTTTACCAACACTGTATGAGGGTCACCCTTTTCTAGATCCTCTGCAACACTGAATATTATCATTTTTGCCAACCTGATGGGTGAAAATTGATACCTCAATTTATTTTCATTTTAATTTTCCCAATTACCATTGAGGTTGATCACCTTTCCCTTTATTTTTTTGGCAATTTGTAGCATTTCCCAAATTTCTTTTCTCATCCTTTGTTTGTTGTTATATTGAACTGTTTTTAACTGATTCGAAGGAATATTTTATTTCAATATGTGTGGAAACCACTTCTTTATTAAGTATATTGCAGTTATTTTCTCCCTATCTGTAACTTGTTTCTCAGTTTTGTTTTAATGGTTTTTAGGTACAAATTTGGAGGGAAGGAATCAGCTCACGTAGAACTTTTTGAAACTAGATCCTATCTACTATGAAATAGCATAGATTCCTTATTCTCCTGTTTAATTTTTATGTAAAGTTTTTTTGTTCTGAATGACTATGTTTTATTGAAGCTAAATTGTTATCAATTATAAGATACGCTATTATTTTACATACCTCTAAGAAGGAAAAAGACACCACCAATCAATCTGACACAGTGCTTGTCGCATTGATAGTAGAAGCATTCTGACTTCAAAGATAATTAAAATGGGGGAGAAATGAACAAGTACGGGGATTAAGCAGATTCCCTATTACCAGAGCATTACTGAATGCCCCTTTAGTTGGGATTTTTGGTGAGTATTTCTGTGTGTATTTTAAGATTCCGCTTTATAAGTCAGAATAGAGGAAATAGTAAACAGTTCAACTTACACAGTCATCCCCCAGCCATGTAGTCATTTTGTTCTGACTGTGAATTTTATAAAACCATATTAATTCAGAGTTTATAAATTTGAAATTTTAATAATTTAAAACTTTTAAGTAAATTAATATGAACAAGGTATTAAGGGGACTACTTAGATAACTAATTTTACCTAATTCATAAAAGTTCAACTCAAATGTTAGTGTCATATATGTATGTATATATTGCTGTTAAAATGTGTGATGCTTCCTTTCCAACCACTTAAATGATGTGTGTAAGCATCATTGTCCTCAGTGTCAAGTGTACTGTTCACTCATCCTGTGTCTGGTTCTTATCAGATCTGAATAATGTGGCTGCTACAGCTCGGGTCCTAGTCATTGGAGCTACTAACCGCCCAGACTCACTAGACCCTGCTTTGAGACGTGCAGGAAGGTTCGACCGGGAAATATGCCTTGGGATCCCAGATGAAGCATCCAGGGAAAGGTATACTGTTAGAGCATGAAGTTTGTGAACCACTATGCTATCTGAACTGAAAGCTTTGAAATTCAGGGGTGAGAAACACATGTAGCCTTCTCCCCCTCCCCGTCTCTCCCAGTTAAACTGATATGGAAAAGAAAAAAACCCACATTAAATTAATGCTTTAAGAAAATAATTTACTCATCAATAGAGTAATTATTTCGTTCTTTTTTCAGCGGTAATAATGGACTTATATATCTACACTCATTTGTCCAGTCTTATTAACAGTGGCTTGCATTTTTAGTTTGGCTGGTCAGCTTAGGGCAGTGCTAGACTATGGAATAGAGCAGTACTCACTGGTCCACATGTGGGTTAAATCTGAGTACCATACTTTAACCTGTTGTGCGAATCTGCCTATGACCACAGGTTCTGTGAAAAATAATTAAATGGCAGCTAGAGAGTTGAAACCTGAGTTTGGCTGTAGAACCAACATTTCCTAGTCATTGGTGTTGAATGTCAACAGAGCAAAGAAATGTCCACCCACATGTCTGTCAGTAACTAAAAATATCTCAGGGGTCACTGTTTACAAGTAGAAATCTAGTGAAATGTTTTGAAATACCGTATTTATAATGGCCTAGGTTAATGACACTAAAATTGGTGTACATGATCACCAGCAGCTATTAGGAGAAGTAGTACTTAGTGAAAGGAAATAAGAATGCAGGAACTAGAAGGGACCAGAAGGCACTGTGGAAAGGAGAAAGGGTTAGGAAGAAACATGTGTGACCCTTCCCTTCCCCCTAGTACTTCGTGTGGCTTCAGCTTTTGATTGGTTGCCAATTTCTTCTTCCACTATTGTAGTCATGACTGTGATTACAATAGCTGCATTCATGTCTGCTAACTGCATTCCCACATAGATCATCTGTAAATAGTAACCCAGCCATTCAGGCTTGTTTACTGGCTGTTTATACTGCAGCAAAATAGTATCAATATTGAAGTTGTTTGCACATACTCAGCAAACACGTATTGAGCATATTGTATATGTATATTCTATTCCGGTAGGTAATATGAGGAATATAAAAAATTATTAGTCCTTGCTTTTAACATGTTTCCAATACAGTAAGAGAGAAATAGGCCTGTGTCCTTTAGCCCTTTTTTTGACTAAGTGCCAAACTTCATGTTAGAGACATAGACACAGGGGAGCCCATCAGCCCTACTAGGTAAAATCTTTCATCCATCTATCCAGTGTTCTGTCATCAACAAAGTCCTTAAAGGGCTTTTGTAGATGGCCATATATTTGAAAACACTTAGACCTACAGAAAAGTTGAAAGAATAATACAATAAATATCTATCTGCCCTTCAGCTAAGTTTACGACTTGTTAACATTTTATATAAATATATTCAGTGACTTCTTTTTACTAGTAGGTTAGGAGTCTGAATTTTCCCCCCTGTTTTTTCTACAGAATACTTCAAACTTTGTGCAGAAAACTAAGACTTCCTGAAACTTTCCATTTTCGTCACTTAGCACACCTGACGCCAGGCTTTGTTGGTGCAGATCTGATGGCACTCTGCCAGGAGGCAGCCATGTGTGCGGTCAGCAGGGTCTTAATGCAGCTGCAGGATTCACAGAAGAAAGAGCCTGAAACTCCAGATTTGCCATCTGAAGGATGCCAGGAAGAAAAGATCGGAACTGAGCTCACTTGTACAACACAGGTGCTTTCTAGACAGGTACCATAAACTGGCCTTTAAATGTTCTTTCTTTGTGTTATCTTACAAGCAAGTGTCGATGTAGTTAAGGTTTATGATTTTCTGTTTTATTGGCATTTTATCTTTAGAATAATTACCAGTTATACCCAGAATGTCTATAATTTCAAAAGTACAAGTTGGGGGTTTTTTTGTTTGTTTTATTCGTTTTACAATAATGATTATGAAACTCTAGAGCAGGGGTTGGCAAGTTATGGCCCACCCGCCTACCTCCTGTTTTTTGTAAATGAAAGTGATCTCATTTATTTACATATTGTCTGTTTCTGCTTTCACAGCAGAATTCACACAGGAGTCCTTGCAGCAGAGATGTGTGGCCCACCAAGCCTACAGCATTTGCTCTCTAGCCTTTTATGGAAAGTTTGCCAATTCCTGTTAGAGCATTGGGCATTTAGTTGTATTTCCTGGTCACCTTTTGGTTAGGTGGACTAGGAAAGTGCTGATGCAACCATATTCTTGTCCCTAGCTGCAGATGGCTCTGGAGGACAGTCCTATGAATGTGAGAGGGATGTTTATCTATCCAAGATCAATGTTAAAATTTTGAGTTTTGTAAATCATGAAGACTCAAAATAACATTTATACAGTGTTTGAAGGTTTGCACGGAGGGCGTCTATATAATATATGATTTGGTTCATTTAACTTTGTCAAGTAAATATCACTTTTCCTCATTTTATAATCAAAGAAACTAAGGTTAAGAGATTGTGACTTGCTCAAGGACATACCCCTCTACTTTCCAGGGCAGGAACTTAGATCTAGGTCTTTGGTTTTTAAATTATTTTTTCCTTATTCATTTAGAACCACAGTTATATCTGTTGAAAATAATGAACTTATTCTTTTATAATGTTGCATGTAAATTAGGATTTTATAAATTGAATTATTCAGTTACTGTTTATACTTATACTTTCATATTCTTCACAAGGCGGGAAATCTGCCTTTGAAGTTCAAGACTCAGGATAATTTCTTGCGTTCTCTTTAGTTCATAAGCTATCAGGGAACCATATTATGAAATTTTACTGCCATCAGAGTAACTTTGTTTTAATTTCACCAAATTTCAGTTGCTTCTTAAATATTAGTAAATGAAAAATGGAAATAACATGGTTGTTGAAATGAATCTGTGCCAGCTGCTTATGTTTGCTGTAGCTAGCCGTAGTATAGGATACAAAAATCATTCTTCTATATTTGAGTATAATTGGTGTACCTTTCCTTGACCAAATCAAATTATCTATTTAGAATAAAATGACGTCTTCTGCCAGTGGAGAAAATTATTAAAATACATAGAAGTTCACTATAGCTTACAGAAATATTGCAGTAATAACTTTTAAATGTACAAAAAGTATTGTTTCAACAAACTTTGTGGTTTTTCTTTTTCTCTCTCAATTGCTTCTGTTAAGGATGAATTGCAAAGTCTGCTGAGGTTGCTAAGAAACCAAGATCCCCTCTCAGAGGAGCAGCTGCAAGGGTTGTGCATTGAATTGAATGATTTCATTGTTGCTCTGTCTTCAGTCCAGCCCTCTGCCAAAAGGGAAGGCTTTGTCACTGTCCCTAATGTGACATGGGCAGATATTGGTGCCCTGGAAGATATCAGAGAGGAGCTCACCATGGCGATATTGGTAGGTGCACCTGCAGCTAAATGCCGTTGGCCCATGTGATGGGTAAACAACCATGCGTGTGTATTAGGTTGTATGTCTAAATTGGCTTGACTGTTTTCTTGTATGTGTTCTGTAGTATTATTATTAAGCCCCCAATGATGGTTTTTATTTTCATTTTTCTGAGATCTAGTTTAGACTTACTCCTTTGGTTGTACTTGAATTCTGTGAGAGTAAGTAAAAATAAAAGGTTAGGTTTTAACTAAAACCACATTGTTTGAGAAATATTTTGTGAACTCAGTCAAGCACATAAGGGTCAAAGCAGTTTAAGGCCCATGAAACTTTGGATTTTTATTTACTCTTACTTTTTCCCTCCACTGATCATCCCGCTATTCATTAATGAAGTGTCATCTCTACAGAGATGTGTAACTACTGAAAGAAAATGCACAGAGGTTATAGCAAACAGGTGTCTGGCTTTTGGCTCTGGAGAGTACTGCTGCTTTAGGTTTCTTAAAGGAGGTGATTGCCTTCAATGTTTTTCACCTAGAAATTTAGATAAATTTTTCTAAAACCTTTATGTTTAAAATGTTTTCAGAACTTACATTTAAGTGTGGATCCCTCAAGAGCAGGGACTTTTTTGTTTTTCACCATATACCTCATGCTTGGAGCGGAGGTACGCACTTTGTCCCAGGTACTATCCATTTCTTCAGGCCTTATGATCAGTGCTGAAAATAGGCCTCTGGAGATCATTTGAACATTTGGTATAAAAGGACATTTGTAACAGATCACTGTCGGGATTGTACTTTCCAGGCACCAGTAAGTAACCCAGATCAGTTCCAGGCTCTTGGATTGACCTCTGCAGCTGGAGTCCTCCTTGCTGGTCCTCCTGGCTGTGGGAAAACTCTGCTGGCAAAGGTATGGTGTAAGTTCAGCGGTGTGTATTTCATTTCGTATTATCAGGTAGGATAAGATGAATTTAACTAATACACAGATATTTTTGTATAATTTCTGTTAGAAGTTCGTTTTAGTAAAACTGACAGTTTTCATCAGGAAAGTTTCCCACTTTCATTTTTTTCTTATTCCTCCCTGCTCCTCCCACTCACTCCCTAGTAACCATCATTTTACTCTCTGTTTTTTACTTATTTAACTTTTTTAGGTTCCACATATAAGGGATAGTACTTGTCTATCTTTGTCTGACTTCCCTAGCTTAGCGTATGTGCTGAAGGTTCACCCATCAGGTCAGAAGTGGAAGGGTACCCTCCTCTTCCGTGACTAAATACTATTTCATTGTGGATATGGAGCACATTGCTTTCACCCATTCATTTATTGAAGGGTGTTTGAGTTGTTTTCATATGCTGGTTGTAAATGATGCTGCAGTAAACACAGGAGTGCACATACCTTGTTGAAATCCTGTTTTTATTTCCTTTGGGTGTATACCAGGAAGTGGAATTGTTGGATTGTATGGTAGATCTATTTTTAATTTTTTAAGGAAACTTCATGTTATTTGCCATACTGGTTGGATCAATTTACATTCCCACCAGCAGTGTATAAGGGCACTAAAATGTGAATTCACCAGGTGGATGTCGCCCCCTCACCTGGGTACATCTCCCTTTGTTAGTCCACAGCAGAAGGGAGGTAGCTTGGATAATTTGAAATCCTTAGATAATGTTAAAACGTCATAGATCAAATTTTTCCTCTTCTCTCCAACTGCCAAAATTTTGGTACCTCTCTGTTGAGTCAGATTTCTGGTATCTGACCATTTGGAGCAGGGAATCTTACCCAGGACTCCATGGATGGACTTCACAGCTCACTCACCCATGAACCCAGGCCATATATTATACATATATGTACTTTTTACAAGGAGAGTGTTCACCACTTTGATCAGATTCTCCAAAAGCTGCATGAGTCTTTGCCTAAGAATCTAGAAATAAGAGAACATGTTCTTGAATGGCAGAAGCAAAGTGTTATCCTAACAGAGTCATGGAACCACTTATCGGTCGGAACCTGGCAACCAAGAATTGGATGTAAAATTAAGATTTTGCCTGATCTTGGTTCTTTTGTTTACTTATAATGACAATAAAATAATAAAATATTTCTAAACACTAGTACAATAAGTATAAATACAGCGTAAAGTATGAAGAGCACTAAGGCATGTGATTACTGGAGCCAACCCACTGAAAATAATGACTAATAAGGAAACTGAAGAGTAATAATCACTTAGTTGTCTGGAACTATATAGTATGGGAGCAAATAGCATCTGACAGTGAATGCAAGATTTATGATGATATCCACGAAAAATTAAAAATTAAATTATGTTCACTATATTTCATTTGGAAGCCAAAGAAGGCTTCCGATAATTTCAGGAACTCTTGGGGGTTTTAATGGGTTAAACCTTAATTATCTGGCATTTGGATGTTGAAAACTAATGTAGATGAGTCAGACTTCATTAGATGTGTATCCTGACTCTCCCTTACTTAATAGTATTGAGTGAGAGATAGGAAACTTATGAAATTGGCAGCAGGAAAGACAAAGATTCAGAGATGGGATAATCTTCCTGTTGAGCAATTTTTGCATGGCCAAGCATGCATGTATTCATTTGTTCAACTAGTATTTATTTGTTGAGCTACTTACTTTGCCAGAAATTGTTTTGGGTGCTAGCGATAAACTAGTGAATCTATGCTAATAGAATTTATTGTCTGTTTCGAAGGGGCAGGCAGCAAACAAAAACAATAACATTATTAACAATTCAGCTAAGTTCTAAAGGAAGTAAACAGATTGTTGTGATAGATTGATTGGGAGATGGCTGTTGTAGGTGTGGTGTTCAAGGGATGGTGACATTTAAGAGCCCTGAAGAAGCAGCCACATGAAAAGGCAATGAAAGAAGGGGAAGCATCTTCCAGACAGAGGGAACAGCAGTTGTAAAATCCCTGAAGTGGGCTGGAAAGGGGTTGGTGAGTTTGAGAACCAGAGGGAGAGCCAGTGGCTGGACCAAAGAGAGACTCATGTCCCAAAGTATAGGCTTGTGAGCCATAGTAAATGTTTCAAATTATACTGGAAGGTAAATGAGAAACTTAGTAAAACGATACGACCTGACTTACATTTTTTAAAGAGTGCTGTGTGCAGATGGATTGGAGGAAAGCAAGAGTGAAAGAAAACCAGTTAGGGATTTGGGGAGTCTTATTTGTTTGTTTTTTGCTTTTGCATGTCCAGGCCAGAGGTAACAGTGCTCTGGATTATGTGGTGGTATAGTGGAGAAATAGAATGTGTCAGGCTCACATATATTTTAGCATTAAGCTAATAGGATTTGCATATTAATTGGGTGACATGACAAGACAAGGGATCAAGGGAGACACCAAGATTTTGGCCTAGAAACTATTTACTAGATGGGAGGAAAAGAATTAGGGGCATGGGTTTGGAGGGAGTTGGGAGACCTTCAGGAGTTGTGCTTTGGAAATGATAGATTTGAAATATATGGGTAAAACCCGAATGGAGATGCTGAGGAGTGTGTGCACTATAGATCTGGAGCTCAGGCATCAGGTGCTAAGAATAGCAAAGAACTATTCCCTGATCATTTTGAATTTTCGAGAGATTGCATTCAGGTTATAATTCTTGGGTTCTTCTACACGTGTAGCCATGTGTTTCTCTTTGGCTTTGAACCATTATTCTTAATTGCAGTTGAATCTTTATTTTTTAAAAATAGTCTGTTAACACTGACCCTTGGTAAAGACTTAAACTGATGTTTTGAAATTTTTGTTTATAAATGAATGAATGATTGCTTTCATTAGGCAAGGCATTTCTTGATACAGAGATTATGATCTTTCACTAGAATTCCAAGCTAGGGCTATACACGTATAATACATTTCCATAAATATTTGTGTCACTTTCCTCTGATTTCTAGTCTTAATGATTCTTAGAAAGTTTTAGGTTAACATTTTCTTTTTACCCATTTCTCTTTTTCCCATATGCCTCCTCCTATTTTGAAAGAGGCAACTATAAAAGTGGGGAAATAGAGTATAAACCACAAGAAGTCCCCGTGTTATCACAAATTATTGTTATTATTTTATATTTGTCTTATTTGTATCTTTTTGTTTCCTCTTACTAGGCTGTTGCAAATGAGTCTGGGCTAAATTTTATATCTGTCAAGGGCCCTGAATTACTGAATATGGTAAGTTGTTGTGGCATTAGCCAGTTTTTTAGATAAGGAAGGTAATGACCATTCAAATTAGAGTAGAATGTCCTCAGACTTTTGAAACAATTGTGAAATTTTGGTAAAACCACCTCTGTAGTTGTGAAGAAGTGGATCCTTACTCTGTTGTACTTAGTTGTATATACTTTCTTAATTAAGTCTGGTAAATTGTGAGCCTGTTTTCTCATCTGCAAAATGGAAATAATCATAGTAATTAACACTTTAAAGTGTTTACTCTGTACCATGTATTTGTGAAGCACCCCACATACATTATTCTTCAACAACCCTGTGAGAGATGAATTATTGTTTCCTCTGATTCACAGATGAGGAAATTTAAGTATAGGAGGTGGGGGAGGTAGAAGATGGTAAAGGGGGGATAAATGGGTGATGGAAGGAGACTTGACTTGAGATGGTAAACACACAATACAATATACAGATGATATATTATAGCACTGTATACCTGAAACCTGTGTAATTTTATTAACCAATGTCACCCCAGTAAATTCAATTTAAAAAAGAAAAGTGCCCAGCCGGGCATGGCTCAGCAGTTGAGCATCAACCTAGGATCCAGGAGATCGGGGTTCGATTCCTGGTCAGGGCACATGCCCGGGTTGCAGGCTAGGCAGTCGATCAATGACTCTCTCATCATTGATGTTTCTTTCTCTCTCTCTCCCCTTCCTTTCCTCTCTCTGAAATCAATAAAGATATGTTTAAAAAAAAGAAAAAAAGGATCCTGGCTGGGCGTGGCTCAGCGGTTGAGCATTGACCTAAGATCCAGATCACGGTTTGATTCCCAGTCAGGGTACATACCTGGGTTTCGGGCTCGATCCCCGGTCGGGGGTGTGCAGGAGGCAGCCAATCAGTGACAACTCTCTCATCATTGATGTTTCTCTCTCTCTCTCTCTCCTCCCTTCCTCTCTCTGAAATCAATAAAGACATATTTAAAATTTTAAAAAAAGAAAAGTAACTTAAGTTTGAGGGGTTCGTTAACTTGGTCAGAGTCTGCCAGCCAGGAAGTAGTAGAGCTGCTAAAATTTGAATCTGGTTTGTGTGACTCCTGGTTCTGCTTCCCTTGGCCTGTTGTGTGGCTCAAATGAGTTAAGTATTAATAAATAAGAATACTTTGGGGGAAAGAAATCACTAAAGTGCTATATAATAACTTCTTTCAGCATTTAAGCAATTTATATCTCAAATTTAAGAGATAAAATTTCTTTCTATGCATCCTTATAAAAAATAAAAATGCCATTCTGTAATATTCAAACAAAGACAAAATGAGAATGGTATCATTTGTTTTAAAAAGCTTTTTATCCCTGACCAGTGTGGCTCAGTTGGGTGATTGTTGTCCCATGTCCCAAGAAGGCACCAGTTTGATTCCTGGTCAGGGCAAATTCCCAGGGTTGCAGGCTCTATTCCCAGTAGGGGGCATGCAAGAGGCAGCTGATCCATGTTTCTTCAACCTTGTCAGTGTAACCCAACAGTATAAAAGAACTGACAGTAGGACTTTGGGTTTGGTACTCTGAAGGTCGTTAGTAACTTTAGGGAGAATATTTTCAATAATTGTGTTTTAAAAAGCCAGATTATGATTGAAAACAGTGGCAGATAAGGAGCTAGAGACAAGTATAGGATCCTTGTGTGAAGTATTTGTTAAAGGCCAAGATAGGGGTTTTTCTTTTGTTTGCTTATTTTCTGTTACTGTTGTCTTTGTTAAGATTGATTTTGATCTGTCCTTTGACACTAGGTTTACCTTCCCCTAAATTAAATTTCCTTTTGCCCTGTCATTTTGGCTTGCTGCGTCTCAGGTCCCTTTCCTAGCTATATTGATTGGTCTCTGCCATCATCAAGTTTGAAACTTTCTCTCTCCCTACCTACTGACACCTTTTCTTTAAAAATATCTACTGAATATTTTGGGTTCAGCTACCCAAATACAGTTTTTGCTGAATTAGATTTTTCAGGGAGCTAAATTGTTCCACTGTATTTGTACACTGCACAGGATGTTATGATCAGAGAAAAATTTGAAATGGTCAAGGACTTTACGATATAATACAGTGAAGGTAGAAGAGCTCACAAGTTGTAATAGTAGGAAGTGCTATAAGAGCAAAGAAGAGAGTAATGGGAAGAAAGATTAATGGGGATCTTTTCAAATGCAGGAACTCTTTGGAGGTAGGTTGGAAAGGCAGTTCAAGAAAGAGAAGCAAAATGAACAAAAGTACAAAGGAAAGTTCAGGATATGTGTGTGAGGGAAAGACAGCTCTATTCAAATGAGAAAACAGAAATACTTTAATCACTCATCTGTCATATAGTCTATTCCTTAATTACTTTATTATGATCATATAGTCATAAAATAACATCAGAGATACCATATGATGCTGGCACTGGAAACATATTTTCAGATTCTGTTTTACTTAGCAGTTTTATTACAACAAAACTGCTTTTCTTAGTTAACTAGTTTTAAATTTTACAAGAACAGTGTCTTATGCCTAGCTAAAAGTGAAACCATATTCTTACATATAACTTTTTATTTTAATTAGTTCTAGCGTTATATATAGCTGCTAGTGAGTTGCTGTATTTCTTGACTAATCTTAATATTTTATAGTTTGGTTTAGATTTCAACATACATTATGTCACATGAGAGCTGTTAGACTCCTGTCTGGCTCAGTTTGCCTCTTCTGATGCTATGTGACAAAATAGCTCTTTCTTTAGCAAGATGACGTGTAGAAATGATAGTAGAACAGTAAATTGTCTTGTTCACATTTAAAATACTGTTGAATTAATGAAAATTATTATTGCTGGGTATTTTATATGCATAAAGCCTAGGAGATCACTTCTAAAATAGAATAGAATTGTGAGATCTTTTTTGACCTATAGAAGACCTTCCATTGCATTTAGTCTTCATTTTGTAAATGGAGAAAATCTTATAAGCTTTTAGTAGTTAATTTTATTAAGTGGAACCACATGCAACTGGCTATTTTTTTTATAGGTCAAAAATGGGCAAATACCAACAATTGCATATGGTTCAAACAATACTTTTTGGACTCTGACATATAAATGTCATTTAAAACGAGTTTTACTATAATTTGGCTTAAACCCCAATATTGAACTGTCTCTCCGTTTTATCTCCTGTCTGTGTATGTTTAGTACGTTGGTGAAAGTGAGCGTGCTGTGCGACAGGTTTTTCAACGAGCCAAGAACTCAGCGCCCTGTGTTATCTTCTTTGATGAAGTGGATGCCTTATGCCCTCGGAGATCAGACCGAGAGGTAGGTGTCATCAATTTGTGTTTTACAGGTTTCTTTTTAAGCACCACAAGCCTTTTATAAGTTCTTATAAAGTAAGTTTTTATAAAGTTTATATAAAGTTCAAGTAGTTCTTGTAAAGCCATTCCTTGAGAACATTGAGACTGTTTATGTGAAGAAAACCTAGTAATTTGAAAACAGGGCCGAGGGATAATTTTTGTATCCATTTTTTTTTTTTTTTCTGCGTATTAGTTTGGTTGCATGTACCAGATTCACACAAATGAGTAGCTGGGAGTGGAAATGATACTGGTTTTAAATAGCCTGCCTTGTAATCTTAAGATTATCTTCAATTAAATGCGTTCTTGAGGCAGGAAAAAATGTAATCTAAGACATGCACTCACAATACAGTCAGGCAATGTGCCCTGACTGCACCATTACACTCTGGGGAAGATATAAACTTGGTCTGCATTGACTACCACTTGTGTTACTACACTGAGTCATAAGTCATAGGTCTTAGAAATTTCAGCACAGAGAGTGCCCTGAAACAGCTGTTAACAGGAGTACAGCTGTGTAAAGAGTTGGAAGCATAGTGGTTGTGTGTTTTTTGTGGTTTGTTTTCAGATAATTATTCTGTGTGTGTGCTCTTAGGTAGTGAAACATTTATTCAGTGCCTCATTTCACTTACAATATTTAGAAACATTCAGTAGTTGCAAAAACAAAACTTGACTAATATAAGTGTGATTCATATCATAGCAATTTTGTTTCCTCATCCAGTAGTCATCAGTATCATCACAGAATATCTTTATTACAGTCTCTTATGATAGTGATGTCAGTGGCCAGGTCAGAGGTCCTTCCTGTTCCCCTGCCAGCTGTCTCACCCCATGGTCTAGTGTGGAATACAGAGCAAAACACTATACTTTCTATCCAGCGATTGGGGCGTGATGTGCTCTGGATTTTACTCGTGCCACAAACTTCATTTGTCGACAGCCCCTTTCATTGGTTTGCAGCTCTGTTATCAACGAGTAACTTCAGTATTGGGAGTGCATAGGTTCATCCAGTCAACCACTTGCCCTCAGAGAAGTCTGCAGCCATACAAACTACATTCCTAACCTAGGTTCTCTCCCTCTGGAATACCGACCAGCACACATTTTTGCATTCCAATACATGTGTTTCAATTTTCAACATTTTCACCTAGGGATTCTGAAAATATTTGAACTTTGAATTTATTCTTTTTCTTATTGTACAAGTTGTATATGAATGTATACTTGTGAGAATTGAAATGGATACACACATAAGGAGAGTGAAGGCCTTCTCATTCTCTTCCCTGTCATTCTTCTTGGAGGGGTTACTTATACTAGCAATTTAGTGTTTAGTATTTGTCACTCAAGAACGTTTTCCATAAACTGAAAAATATGTATTTTTTAGACTTTTTTATATAACTGGTTATTCTATCTTGATGATTTCCCCATGCACTTAATGACTTTATTTTTTTAACTTGCATAAATATTCCACAGTCTGGATATAGAATTTATAATTCCCCCGTTTTGAACATTTACATTGTTTCCAGCTATTTCTCTTACAAACAGAACTATAGTAAACATTCTTATCACATGTTGTGCACATGTGGGAATATGTGAGAGTTTTAGAGGTAGAATTTTAGGGTAGAAGATGTATGCACATTATATTTTGAAACCTAATATGAATCATTATTCCTAACATAAACTACCAGTTATATACCCCCACCAACAGTGTGTAAAAATAACCATTTCCTACAACTTTGTCAACAGTGGATAATACCCATCTTTTAATTTTTGTCAATTTTATTGGCAAAGCATATTAGATTTTAGTTTTTATGTCCCTGATTATCAGTGAGGTTGATTTCAGCGATTGTATATTTCATCTTCTATAAATTGCCTAATCATGTTCTTTGATCCTTTTGCTATTGAAATGTTTTTCTTTTCTTTTTTTAATAGGAGCTCTTTATATGTGGTAGAAATTAATTCATTGTCCAATTATGTGTGTTGGTACTATTTTTCCCAGTCTTGTCATCTAATTTTCTTTTTTATATACAATGTTATAATTTTAATATGGTAAATTTAACTACCTTTTCCTGTATCGATTCTGAGGTTTTTGTCTTGCTTAGGTAGGACAATGTTTTGTTTTTATTTTTACCCAGTAATTCCTTTTTTTTTTTCAGTCTAGATTATAATTCTATTAATCTCCCATTAGTGTTGTTTCTCCAAGCAGTGATAAGGTGCGCCAAATTTTTTTTTTTTTTTTTTTTTAAGAAATCAGTGTGTTAAACTCATTACCACCTCTATACATAAAATTTATGTTGAAGAAAGGAAATGAATAACAAAAAGAAACACAGCACCACTTTTCTCATTTTCCTCCATTGTGCAGTTAAAAAATTTCTGTATCTAAATGATTTGTCTCTATTTACCAACCCCCTAACCTTTCTCTTAGAAGTTGCCCTGTAGCTTTACATGTACTGTGTGCTTCACAGAAAGGAGAATATGACTCAAGTGTCCCAGATGAAACGTCTGGTATCCTGGGGAATCTTACAAGGTGTTCAAAAGCTGAGTCTAGATTTGTCCAAAAGGAATTCATTGTGGCTGCTGGATCTTTGAATAACTCAGAGGCATAGACATGGGGATCAGATAAATCTGAGTTTGAGTTTCATCTCTACCCTTATCTAGCTGCGAGACCATGAACAAATAACTCAGCATCCTCTCTCAGCCAGTTTCCCATCTAAACTGTGGATAAAATAAGAGTATTGCTGGGGAAACATGGGGGTGAGAACACGTTTTGTACAGTGCTTGGCTGTACAGTAGTGACTAGTCAGGAAATGATCATTGTTATCTCTTTTGACAAAAGCTTTCATTCAAATTAGCAAATGTATTGTTTTGTATGGCCAAAAAAAAAGAATTGGTGATGTGTTTTTATTTTTGTTGTGGGCTGATGGAGCTGTTTCTTTCTTTTTAGACAGGAGCAAGTGTCCGGGTGGTGAATCAGCTACTTACAGAGATGGATGGTCTGGAAACACGTCAACAGGTTTTTATTATGGCAGCCACCAACCGGCCAGGTAAGACAGAAGTATATGAAACAGAAGCATCTAAAGACTTTCAGCATTCAGAAACAATACAGTTTACATGCATCCTGGTAAAGGAAGATTACATTTTGGAAATCCCTTTAGGGTTCATAAGTTGAAATAAAACTTTAGAAAGCTTTTGTGTAAACTACAATAAATAAAAAAGTATTGCCTAGTTTGCATGGGTTTTTGTTTTGTTTCTGTGTTGCTGCTCAGAAAGTTCTCTTGTTGGCAGAGAACACATGTCACTTACACCTTTGACCACAGAAACCTGAATCTGGATTCACGTCCTATGGTTTCTCTCAAGCTTGTCAGAAACAACAATGAGACTCTTCATTGTATCTGAAGATTGAAGATAGGTTTTTTAAGGTTTTATACTGGAACCATGTCCTTATACCTGTGTTTTACTATTGTTTAAAATTGTTTACAAGCAAAGTCTCAAAACTTCAAAGGGGCCGGAGGTGGCTTTTACTATGGATCCTAAATTCTCTTCATATTGTTTAATACGTATGAGCCACTGTGTCATAGCTGCTCCTACATTGATACTTGTGTTAACTCTGATAGCAGTAATATGGTAATTTAATTCCTTAACTGGACTTACCAGTTTTCAAGCTGGTATAACTTTTTATTTCATTTAAGTTACTGTGAAAACTAAAACCTTCATGAATTACATGCCATTTTATTGTAAAATGAAAAGTTGAAAATTGTTATGTTTTATACTTTCACTCTAGTAATAATGAAATACTTTCTTTGGAATCAGACAGAACAAAGTTTGAGTCCTGGCTATAGCACTTCATATCTTAGTAACTTCTCTGTTTCAACCCCAACTGGTCTAACACAAGATAAGTGAATTATAGTTCAGTTTTGACCCTAACCATCTGGAGTTAGTGTCAGATCCTGCAAGTTAAGGAGTCAGTCCTCTTTAAGACTGCCCCCAACTTAGATGCCAGCCACAGAGGTATCTCCAGGACACTCACCTTTCTGACCAGCCTGCTACAGATTTAGGGGCATGACCCCCCTCAAGTTCAGTAATTCACTGGAATAACTAATAGAATTCAGGAAAGCACTGTATTTACAATTACAGCTTATTATAAGGGATACACATACAGGTAGGTCTTGGAGGGAGTGTGTAGTTTCAATGCTCTCTCCATGATGTGTCACCCTCCAGACACATCAGTATGTTCATAAACCAGGCAGCTTCATCTTGCTAACCATCATTTCTTCATCTGGGAAATGAAGATAATACCTAATTGGCAGGATTGTCATAAAGGTTAAGTGATATTAGCAATCCCACAATGTGTGCCAAGTAGCTATTTAGTAATTATCATTGTCACAAGTGCTTGTGGTAATAATAGGAGCAGTCATTAGGTCATGAAATCACAGTCTTCTTAGAAGAAACCTTGAAAGTCCCTCAGATTTGGACAGAATCACCTCCTACCTTTCCAAAGCAGATACACGTCTTTTCTAACAGATTTTAGGAAGAGAGTCTTTGGTCTGCTGTCTGGAATAACCTATCCTTTCTTGAACTCATCATTGGTCATGTTTGTTTAATGTAAATACCCTTTTAGTTTAATCTCTGTAGATTAGAAAATAAGAGGTCCTTCAGTGTCAGTAGGTTTCCGTTAAACCCTCTCCTTCGAAACAGTCCAGGCACATCACTTTTCCCCGTGGGTTTTCCCTGTGATCTCTATTCATCTGGAATTCTGTATAATGCTCCACATTGTCTGTAGTTGTAAAACCCAGAACTGAATATAATTGTCTGTGTTTAGTTTAACCAGTGATACAAATGACAGATGAATCATCATGTGGTATGTGTGTTCTGACCTTTCCAGTGTCCTTGAGTGTTGTCTTCCTGTCCACTGCACCTTACTCATCCCTGTTCTTCCATCTGAAACCCCATAGCATTGAAGGCTTGCCTACATTTACACATAGATGTTTTACATCTTTTTCACTTGCATTCATGCTTATTAGGCCAATCTGTTCCGTTGTACACTATGCTGTGACATTCTGGTTGGATTGTTTATAACTTACTTTCTGGTCAGCTTTAAGAAATCCCTTCTTGACTGATGTTCTGGTCACCTATCGCTGACTGACAAACTCCTGCAATACTTAGTGCCTTAAAGTTGCCGTTTTTGCTTTGCTCATAGTTTTGTAGGTCAGGAATCCAGGAAGGGCTTATCCAGGTGGCTCATCTCTGACCCACATGCCATCAACTGGAGTGACTGGGCCAGAGAATCCCCTGCCAAGGGGGCTTCTTTCCTCATGTCTGGTGCCTTGGTGCTACTTGGCATGTCTCTCTGCCCCACACTAATTGTCACCTTCCAAGGCCTCTCCATGTGGCTCGGGCTTCCATTAACCTAGTTCTCTGGGTACTCTGACTTCTTACATGATAGCTGGATCCCAAGAGACCAAGGTGGATGCTGCCACTCCTAAAAGCAAGACCCAGGACAGGCAAATTCTGTTGGTCAGGATGGTGACAGGAAGGCGCAGATAAAAAGAAGAGGAGGTAGGAATGATGTCTCAGAACATTTACTCTCTCATTCATCAAGTATTTATTTTTGAGTATATGCCTGGTCTGCTGAGCTTTGGGAACTCAAAGGTTAACGATTCAGAGGTTAACTCAGAAAAATTCTTTGCCTGCATATATTCTGATTTGGGGCTGGGGAACATAGGATAAATAATAGACAAATAAAATCAAGCCGGGTAGGAGGGTACAGAATGGCTGGTGGCTGGGGAGCGGAATCCTAATTTAGACATGGTCCCAGGAGGCTTCAGCAGAAGTGACGTGTGATTATTTCATGAACCCAAGTGGTGTGAAGAGTCAGGCGGTACAAAAGTCTGGAAGAGGAGCGCTCCAGGCAGAGAGCAAACAAGTGTAAAGGCCCGAGGCGAGAACAGATTTTGCCTGTTGGAGAAGCAGCAAGACAGTGTTGTGTTCAGAGTGAACTGAGTGGTGGGGGCAGTGATGGAGAGACCACAGGGCCTTTTATGTCGCAACAAGGGGTGTGGATTTTAGTCTGCCATGATGGAGAGCCAGAGGAGGGTTTTGAGCAGGTTTCAACACTGTTTGTTCTATGTGGCTTAGTTGCTGTGAATTGACTAACTCCCTCAGAGAATGGCCGTAACAAGTCTCCATGGTTATAGATCCAATTAGTGTGTGGCATGAAAGAGAAGCCCACACAGGGAAACCAGATGGCACTGCAAAGCTTACTACAAAAACTGTCTTCTCTACCCAACCCCCCCCCTCCTCTGCCCAGAGGCAACCACTTGGAAATTCCTTGAGCTCTTTTTTCTGTATTTCCTCCATATTTTCAAATAATATGTTCAAACTGTTCTTTCTTACCAGTTTCACACACTGCCCATTAACTTTTTTCTAAGGTAGATGAAGATCGTTACCGTGTGTTCATCTTTTCTCCACTCCCTCAGCTTCACCCCTGCACCTTCTGTTCTCTTCACTCTTTCCCCCCAGTATTTCTGTATAGTTTTATCATAGCTTTGCCAAATCACTGGTCAGTGTTCACATTGCTTAGGACTATGTAAATATTTCTCTCTGCTCACCCAAGCATAAGACTATGATTCGGTTTCCCTTTTCACTTGACCTTGTTTTTCTTAGGGTCAATAACCCTCACTTTTTTCTTTGCTTTCTTTTCTGTGTTCCTATTCTTCATCAGATATGTTACACAAGTCAGTTTTATTTATCTAGATGATGTATCAATTTCATTTGATTGTTTGTTTGTTTCTAGTAACCTTCTGGAGCTTTCCACCCCCCTGCTCCAGTCGGGACTGGCTGCCTTCTAGGTCTGTGGTCTGTGGTAGAAACAGCTGTTATTTCAGGACTTTGCTGCTTTCCTTTTGCCCTTTGTTTTGCCCTTTGTTTCTGATCTTAACTCTCTCTTGGTTTACGCTCTCATTTTGCTAGAACTTATTTTTCAGTGGCTTTTCTAGGAAAGGTCATGTAGGAGGTAAAGTTTCTGAGTTTTTGTATGTTTGAAATTATCTTTATTCTCTTCTCATTGTTGATTGGCAGCCTGGCAGGGTATAGAATATGAATTGAAATCCCCCCCCCCACAATTTGTAAGCACTGCTTTTTTCCTTTAAAGGTCTGTGTCATTCTGATTCTTTTTATGTGACTTTTTGTTTATTTGTTTTATGTGTGTACTTGGTAGATCTTAAACCCCCTGCATTGATCTTCTAAATTTCCTTTTTACTCCTATTTCCATCTCTGTCTTTATTTTTCTTCCTAATGTTTGAGGTACTGGTTTTTAGAAAGTAAATGAAAAGACTGTCCTCTCCCCATTCTACCTCTGGTTGCTCTAAAGAACTGTGACAGCCTTCTTCTGATGTGTAGTGTGCCAGGGTCCACACCCTGCTCTGGAAGTAAACCACTTCCCTGTGCTCAGCCTGAGGACATGGAGCTCCTGGTACAAATCACATCCAGACCACGGATGGCCTAGTTTTCATCTCTCTTACACACAGCTTTGCATTCCCTTCTTCAAATATATACCAGCTCCCGTAAAGGATGTTCTCAGTTGAGGAACTGCCTGTTCCCACTTAATTCCCTGTCTAGCTGGTTAAAATCACTCCTGCACAACATACAGAATTTATGAAACCCAGATAGCCACTCCAGCTTATTACTTTTCTTTCTGTTTCAGTAGCAATTGAGCATCCAGAAAGAGTTTCTGCCTTCTATATATGACTCAGTTGAAAAAATAATAAGTAAATTATGGTTTCTAAGCTTCTGGGCAGGGATTAGATTTGCACTTTTATATTGCAGAGATAGCTGTAGTTCAAGGTCTCTATCCATTGTAAGCCCTTAATTATTTGTCAGATGAAAGCGTGAATGACTGACAAAGAAGGTTTATTTCAGTATTTAGCCACTTAAGTTCCAAGTGAAATGTGTTCCCTCACCTATCTAGTCTGAATGGCCGTGGATCATGGTTGAATGCTCCTTGAAGCCAGTTGAACACTGACTTGATGCCATAGTCAGGCCTGTATATTTTGCCCTTTGGCACAGTACTGCCCTTTTAAAATTAACTTAGGCCCTGGCATCACCTCTGCTGACTTCTAGGTACCCTGGTACATAGTAGAACTCAGTAACTATTTGTTTAATGAATCATAGACGAGACCTACTTCTGTTTCATGAAGGCTGTCTGATCTTATAGTAATTTTCACTGGACATAGAGTCTTTTGTTAGTCTGAAGATCCAATTTTTGTAAAAAATAGCATTGGTGACATATGCAATATACCATAAATTTTACCCATTTAAAAAAAAAGTATGCAATTCAGTGGTTTTGAGTATATTTACAGAGTTGTAGAGCCATCCCAACAATCTAACTTTAGAACATTTCCATCACCCTAAAAAGAATTTGTGTCTGTTAGCAGTCACTCCCCATCCTTCCCCCCACCTGCAGCCTTGGGCAACCACTAGTCTACATTCCGTCTTCATAGATTTCCCTATTCTGGATATTTTATGTAAATGGAATTGTACAGTATGTGGGCTACTGTGCCTGGCTTCTTTCACTTTAAGTGATGTTTTCAGGTTTACCCAAGTTGTGGAATGTATAGACATCACTTCTTTTTATTTCTGGAAAATATTTCCTAGTGTGGATACACCACATTTTATTTATTCACCAGTTGGTGGACATTTAGGTTGTTTCTTGATATGAAGGGGTGTTCCTCTTTAGGCATCTGTCTCTTTTGTGAGTGAATGCATTTTGTCTTTAATGCTTTGGGGTTGTTGGTGACTTTCTCATTGCAAATGTAAGAATTAATATCTTGACTTTAACCTGAAATTCTGTCATTGACACAATTAGGTAGGGAACCAGTTGAGAAATGGAACTAATCTAACTGCAAGATGTTGTTTGTTTGTACCAGGTGATGCCTGGGGATGTGGAAACAATCTGAACATACTGTGTCATAGAGTTGACAGGATTTGCTAATGGATTGGATGTGGATGTGGGAGAGTAGAATCAAGCTTGACTCCGGGTGTTGGACCTGAAAAACTGGAAGAAAGAGTTGGCAGTAATCAAGATGGGAAAGACAGTGGTAGGGCCCTGTTTGGGAGGAGATGGGAAAAGATCAGGATCTCACATGGAGATGTTGGGTTTGAGCCAGCCTCTCTCACTTCCTAGAGCATCCATCCCTTGCATGTGTCTCTTCTAGATCCTGTTTTATTTAAGACACTTTTCTCCCTTCCTGTCTAGATATCATTGACCCTGCAATCCTGCGCCCAGGCCGACTGGATAAAACCCTCTTTGTGGGTTTGCCACCCCCAGCAGATCGTCTCGCCATCTTAAAAACTATCACAAAAGTGAGTAAAGGAAATGGTATATTTTTGTGTCCATTTCTCTTATTTTAAATACAGACAAGTAGTAATTCAGGATGCCTAATCACCTTCGTTTCTGCAACTTTAAATATTTCTCACCTTTGGGAAGATTTTTTTTTTGGTGGTGGTTGGTTTTTGTTACAACTGCAGACAAATTCTTCTAACATCATAAGCGCAAATTGCCTTTAGCTTGCCCAAGTTTAGAGCCTGCTTCTTAACCTCATTTCTCAAAATTGAAATTAGTAAAAATCTTATAACACTGCCCTGCGAGTCAGTTATACTCATTTAGTCAAGTATCCAGTACTGTTTATTAAGAACCTGTTATGTGGAAAAGTATCAGTCTTTAAACCCTCAATGAAAAATAGTTTCTTCTCTCTGATTTAGAATGGCACGAAACCCCCAATGGACGCAGATGTGCATCTGGAAGCCATTGCTGGTGACCATCGCTGTGATTGCTATTCGTAAGGATCTCAGTGTCATGTTGGTTAATTCTCTGAGGCTCAGTTTCCTCGAGTGTCACATGAGGGAGAATGTTGTTGGAGGATTAGATCAGGTATCCTATGGAGCACTGAGCATGGGATCTGGGCCTCTTCTGCTCTTTCCTTAGAGGAGCAGCTCCCCCTGTGAGACTCTGAGGAATTCCTAAAGTGGGGCCTCCTCCATATGTTGGCTCTTGTTACTCAGCTACCCTGACCACCACTGCTGCACATCACAAACTGTCCTGTCCTTCCAGAATACTGGTGACCAGTTGCCAAATTATTCAGGTGCTTCAGCATTTGAAAGAACATAATCCACAAGTGCTCATTTTCTAAGACTCAGAATTTATTTCACAGCACATCCATGCATGAACATCCACACATCCTATAGTAAAGGCAGGAAGTCAAACATTTCTGCCTTCAGCGCTCATGTTTCTGGTGCCAAGTAGTTTTTGTTGTTTTTTTCATATGTTTTCAAGGAAATTTGTTAACTTTCCCAGTTTTAGTACACAGGAAAAAATGAAACAAGTTTAACAGGAAGACATCTCTGGCTTATTTGAAAAGCTCTGTTGATTGTCCACAGTGTACTTGGGGTTCCTGATATTCCTTGTAGGGCAAGGCCTAATAATGGGCTTTCCCAAGCTGAGTCGAGAAAGGGGGTTTTTGTCTTTGAGGTCTTCAGAAGTCTGTTATTCAGCAATGTAAATTTATATCCAAGGAACACATCCCACTGGTGATAGCATAGGCACTCAGTTATTTCCAGTCCCTGTTGAAGAATTTCACATAACCACCTTGTATCAATATGACTTCACTTGAAACCATGCTGATTATTTTTAGGGAGTGTGGTCAGAGACAAAGTTTTATCTCCAGTTTTTTAATATATGGACCTTTAGGGCTCTGAGTGTCAATATTTGTTCCTACTCACATGAGAGAGATCCCGCTCTGGTCAATAACCTTGGCTCATTTAAGAAAGCAGGGATTGTCTCAGTGAAGGGGAAGTCAGCAGTGGTGGTGATGGGCAAATATCCTCCTTCCCTTTAAGGAGAGTGGACCTCTCCCCTAGTTGGGAATCAAATCTGTACCAGTCTGTAATTAAGGGAACTTACCACTACGGAAAAAAAGAGACTTAAGTGAGTAGTTTATAGCTTGCAGAAAAGATTTTCTCTGAGTAATGGAGACAGCTTTGATGGCAGAATTCACCGTGGGCCAAATCTTTTGGATTACATCACATAGGGTGTTAGAATTCAGGTTGAATGGCGTACATTTTGTGTTTTAATGCCAAACCATGTTAGAACTGCACAGTTTGAGAGACACTATAATACTACAGCCTTCAGCTACCTGTAAGTGATGTCTCGGGACCAGTGTTGGATTTAACATTAAGGAAAGGAATGACTAGCCCAGCGTGTGTGTAATTATTAGATAATGTTACAACCCTAACGCTTTACAACAGAAACACTGGATTCAGTTAATAATTTAAACTCTGTGGGTCTTTAATTTTGTATATTATGTGGATTATCAACATTGTATATTAAATTAGGTTAATGTCTGGAAATAAGGTTGTTGTCCCAAATTCAAACTCTTTCTCAAAGAATCACCAAGAATTGGTCAAGATGTAATGTTGTGAAACACCAGTCAGCACCATTGTCTTCCAATGAACTCAAGAATCATGCAGACTCAGCATATTATTATAAGGAATAATTAAATGAAGGCTTGTTAGTTCTTGTCATATTTTAAGTGACTTACGATGTGTCTGCTTAGCTTGAGCTTGAATCAAGTGCATCAAAGGCTTCCGAGCCTTTGTATTTTTCCCTTTTGAATGTGGAGCCATAAATGGCGTCTTATCTAGGCTTGTTTTGGACATTAGGTAATCAAGGAATGGGCCAGCACTTCAGCACAGGCCGCAGGGACAAAAGTTCACAGTAAATGTGTCAGTTTCTTTCTACTGATGATCTAAACTTTTTATATTAACATGGGTATCTAGAGTTATTATCATGGGACTGTTTATGATTCTTGCATGGTTTCCTACATGATTGCCTTTCTTCTGAAAGTTAGAAATATTTTATTTTATTTTTTTAAACAGTGGTTTTGTTGCTTTTTTTTTTTTCTTTTAAACATATCTTTATTGATTTCAGAGAGAGGAAAGGTATGGGGGGGAGAGAGATAGAAACATCAATGATGAGAGAGTCATTGATCGGCTGCCCAGCCCGCAACCTGGGCATGTGCCCTGACCGGGAATCGAACCCCGATCTTCTGGATCCTAGGTCGATGCTCAACCACTGAACCACGCCCAGCCGGGCAGTTAGAAGTATTTTAATGAAAGCTAAAAGCTCTTTCCTACAGACTATAATTAGTTTATCCCACCTTTATTGGGCAGTTTCTTTTCTGACTTTAATGTGCAACTTAAAATAAAATTGTTCTCAGGCTTCTTTCTGGTCTAAATAGTATCTAAAAATAAATAAATAAGAATGCTTCTTTTATTACAGGGGCGCAGATCTCTCTGCTTTGGTGCGGGAAGCTTCTCTCTGTGCCCTGAGACAGGAAATGGCAAAACAGAAAAGTGGAAACGAAAAAGGTACAATGCTCTTTAGAGTCCCTCAGTTCTAATCAATTACCACTCTAGACACCTAAAACCACTGTTCACCTGAAATGTGATCATTTTCTAGCACCTCTTATTTGTGATATTAATACTGGTATTTTCTGATGAGAGCTTTAGAGACCTTTCAGAATATTATGTAACCTCTATGGCTGACAGTTATAATGATAGCAAAGTTACTTGGTGACCTCTAACAAACGTGTTAGACAAATGCTTAGGTTTAGGCAAGTTCTCCTTTAATGCTTAGAAGTCTCTCAAGTTATAAATTATAAATCACAAGAGTTAGAAGTTATGTCATAAATCACGACTAGCATACTTTACCCAGATGTATATGTTTGTGCATTTGCTCCGCAGGTGAACTCAGGATCAGTCAGAAGCACTTTGAAGAAGCTTTCAAGAAAGTAAAATCATCTATATCAAAAAAGGTAAGAAACTTCTAAATGGATAGAGGAAAGAGGCTAGAATGTAGACCAATAGATACGAACTCATGAAAACAAGCACAACGATTGCCTTTGTGGGAGTAGTCTTGAGATTTAATTTTGGGTATTTCTTAGAGACTGAAGCACAGACAATGAATGACCTCTTGTGTTTGTTTCCTCAGTCTCAGGATTCTTAATCAGTCTCATTCAAGTATTTGACTTACTGCACCCTTTTTAATAAATAGCTTCTTATCTTCTTGGACCTAGACTATTCAAACTAAGCACTAGGGACTTACCCATAAGTTTCAGGAAAGTAAAAATATCTTCACCATAAGGTCAGAAAAAGGTTTAAAAAATCATTTTTACTTTTTCTTGCATAAAATGCCAGGTTTTATGTGTTGTTTCTTTGTTGGGGCGTTGTTTGTAGTAAATTAAAACTGTTGCTATTCAGTGAAGTCCAGTAGCCTGACACTTAAAAAGAGAATTGGCAGGAAAATACCCAGCCCTGAGAAATGCCTGGGTTGGATACTGTTGTGATAAGTTTTGTTCACTTGGATATCTTTTGTTTCTGGTCTTCTAGAACTGTAATATGCCTTAGCCATGAGAACATGTTCATGGACTCTACTACAACTTCCTTTAAATCGTTAGCCCTTTATTACCCAGGCTCAGTATTTCTCATTATGATTATTGATTGAAAACGGTAAGTCAAAGTCCAAGCTGTTACATGAAATGGATTGCTGTGTTTCTCATTGTGATTATTGATGGAAAAACTAATTCAGCCCTGGCTAGGTGGCTTGGTTAGAGCATTGTCCCAATAGGCCAAGGTTGCAGGTTCAATCTCTGGTCAGGGCACATACAAGAATCAACCAATGAGTGAATAAATAAGTGGAACAACAAATTAATGTTTCTCTCTCTCTCTCTTTCTCCCCCCTCTCCCCTCCCTCTCAAAAAATCAATAAATAAAAATTAAAAAGAAAACTCCAAGTCAAAGTCCAGACAGTTATATGAAATGGATTGCTGTTTCAGTGCCTCCAGTCTTGGTCTAAAGCTCTAAGTTAGTTGACCATCCTTTAACTAAAAGAACCAGTTAAGAAGTTTGGGCTGGTGGTGGTAACTTTAGGCCCATGAGTTACTACTTCTTCAGCTACAGGGAAGTGAGAGTCTGCTGAGTCTGTCACCCTATTTGGAGAAACAGTAGTCGGCCTTGGCCTCGTAGGCATTTTTGTATATCAGCTCCTGCGGCTGGCCACAGAGCTGACTTCTCACCCTCACTGCCTGTTTTTATACTGTATATTGTTTTTATTTCACTGGACATCTTTGAATAAAACAGTCTTATTAATCAAATCATACATAGTTTGACAGTTAATATTACTGGCACTTTTCATTTTGATCAACAGGAAACTAGTTCTGTAAGTGTACTCTCAAAAATTTAGTCATTAAAAATTTTTTTAATTTGAAACTTTCTTCTAGCCTGAGTTTTGTGGCTTTTCAAGAGTGAGGGCATAGTGGCATAGCTTCACATTTGCCACACTCATCCTCTAACAGTATTTTTAATTGAAATTTAATTTGCACAAGTACAGTTCCGTACATTTTAACAAATGTAACCAGCACCGCAGTCAATATAGAGGGAGCATGATCATCACTTCCGAAAGTCTGTGTGCCTTTGTGGTCGTCAGTCCTTCCCAAGCGTCCCTGTGGCTGGCCACGGAGCTGACTTCTGTCCTCACCTTCACTGCCTGTTTCAGAACTTTGTACAAATGGAATTGCACAGATACGCTCATTTCTATCTGGCTGCCTTCGCTACTGCAGTGTTTCTGAGATTCATGCCCGATGTTGTGTTTTTCAGTTAGTTGGTTCTTTCCCTTGCTGAGTAGTTTTCCATTACATGCACCTACCACAGTGTGCTTATCCTCTCACGTGCTGATGGACATCTGAGTTGTTTCTAGTGGTTTTAATGAAGAAAGGTGTCCTGAGAGTGTGTGTGTGTTGTGTTTATTTCTCGAGTAACCCGGGGAGGAGTTGCTGGGTGTTATGGTAAGTGTATGTTTAACTCTGAAGGAAACTGCCAACCTTTTTTCCTAAGTAGCTTTAGGAGAGCTCCTGTTTGCTCCACTGTCTCACCAGCACTTGTGTATTGTTTCATCTTTTCATTTTTAGCCATTCTCCTGGGTGTGAAGTGACACCCCATTGTGGGTTGAATGGGCATTTCCTAATGGCTAACACACTGAGCACATTGTCATGTTTGTTGGTCATCTGGGCATCTTATTTCATGTCCTTACCTTTTGCTCTTAAAAAATTGAATTACTTTTTCATTAGGCCATGCAGGTTCTCAGTTTATCCTGGATTGAGGTCGTTTATCGCGTGCACAGGTGGAGGGCTTCTGCTCCCCGTCTGCTGTTTACCTTTTGTTTTCTAAAGGCATCTTTTGAGGAACAGAAATTTAAATTCAGATGAAGTCCAGCTTATCATTTTCCCTTTATAGTTTGTGTGTTTCTGTTATAAGAAATCCTGACTATCCCATGTTGGCAAAAATGGCCTCCTTTGTTTTTTTCTACACGTTTTATACTTCTGTTTTTTTATGTAAAGGTCTATAATTCATCTCAAATTAATTATTGAGTTTGATGTGAGGTAGAAGTCATGATTACTTTTTTCCATGTGGCTATCTAGCCTCTCAGACATACTTAGAGAAATAGCGATTCCTCTGAAGTGAGTTAACATTAAATAGATGATCGGGAGATGTCTAACGGAAAAAGAAAGAAGAAAGGTATGTGAGTTCTGTCCCAGAGTCTGCAGAGCTAGTCTCTAGCTCTGAAATGTGAGGCCTGTTCTCAGCCAGGCGAATCTAGCTGGTACCTCTCTTTCCTTGGAGCAGCTGTTTCCCAGGTGCCACATGATGCTGAATTTGGGGTTGGATAGTAATAGCATGTAAGGTGGATTTGGTGTCCAGCAATTGGTTGATGTAACAGTAGGGTCTAGTTTAGAGTCCAAATGCGGACATTGGTCACCTGACCCAGTTATTCCTCCATAACTAGTTGAGGGTGAGAAGTGAGGACAGTGAGCAACATTTTTGCTGAGTCTCTACGTGTGTCCCTCATCTACTCCCACTCTGGCGGTACCAACCTGGTAGTTCCTATCCTATTTTCTAGTGAGAGGCTATGTCCTATTGTGGTCCAAAGGAGACTTAATAGGCTGGCAATTTGTTATGATAGCTAGCCCAGCAAATAAGATGGGCTCTTTTTTGCCAGTTGCTTTTTAGAATTCAGAATGTTCATTTCAGATGTGCCATCCACTTCAGCTGTGCTCAGCAAGGTGGAATCCTCTCGTCCAGAATGTGTCACTGCACAGACCAGCAGAGCATAACTTATTCTGCTGGTTTGGTTTTTTCAGGACTAACTGCTCACCAGTGACCTGAGGCTAGGTTAACTATTAATAAATGCTGAAAGCTTGAGATTATTTCCCCACGTATTTATTATCTCAAATTATAGTCTTTTTACTCCGCCTACATGGCATTGTTCCACTGTCAGGAAGCCAACCTCACTCAAACATAAACTACAGTTTTTTCTGTCCCCTGTAAACACCACACCATAGAAACTCCTGTTTTGTTAACTTGTTGATTTAGTGTTTTTCACACCCACCAGCCAGAGCACTGTGATTCTCTTCTTCACACCCAGGGTTACATGGTTCATCCATTTGCATGATTATTTCTGTCATGTTGACATGTATGAGAGAAAAACCTCCCCCTACCCGAAGTATTAACGGGTTGCCTAAGATCCCATTCTTCCATCTATCCATAAACATTTACCATGTACCTACTGTAAATACGCCAGACACTGTGCCAGATTCACAAGATATAAAATCACAGAAAACATGGTTCCTAATCTTTATGAGCAATTAAGAGTTGTATGGTAGGTAAGCGCTACCACAGATGCACATAGATACCTACTAATCTGGGCACTCAGGTCCATCGATGTTACATAATGGTTTGCAAGTAGCTTTTGCTTATGAGAAGGTATTGGCTGCAGGACAAAGACAGTGCAATGGATTTTGTTAAAAGCCTGTCTGACCCTATGATTCCAGACACCCCTCAGAAGGCTGCATGTAGTCTTAGCGATGCTGCTTGATTCTGGTGTATCCTTTTACCATCTTTGGTAGTCAGACATCTTTAAACCTTAAGCATTTAACTTCTGGAAATGTCCATAGTGAGTAGGAGGTTATATTTTATGTTCACCTTTGAAACCGTTTGAGAGGTACTTGAAAAATCACTGAAATAAATATGTAGTTTATTTTTAAAAATTATCTTCCAAACCAGAGGTGCCAACCTTAAGTGCAGTCTAGGAAATGGTTTTCATTCTTAAATGGAGTGTTTAACTCTTTTCTGTGCTTCAGTGTTCTGATTTCTTAGAAATAAATCTGTTCTGCCTTTATTTGTCTCAGGATTACCAAATTTAATGGTGGTAAACTTTTTTTTTTTTTAAATATATCTTTATTGATTTCATAGAGAGGAAGGGAAAAAGAGAGAGATAGAAACATCAATGGGAGTCATTGATCGGCTGCCTCCTGCATGCCTGCAACTGAGGCTCAATCCCACAACCTGGGCATGTGCCCTGACCTGGAATCGAACCTCGATCACCTGGATCATAGGTCGATGCTCAACCACTGAGCCACACCTGGCCAGGCGGTAGTAAACTTTTTAAAAGTCAAAAACATTGTGTATATGGAAGAACATATTATTGCTTGCAATTTCTGCAAATGTTTTTAAACTATCTACCTCTCCATATTTTCCATATATTCTATCTTCTTGTCTCTTCTCAGGATCAAGTGATGTATGAAGCTCTGAGGCAGTCCCTTGGCCAGTGATTTCCGAGCAGTGGGCCATGGAGGAGTCCAATGCGTCAGCCTGGCAGGGAAGCCCACCTGCTCCGAGCCGGCACTTTCAGCTTGGCAGATTTGGTCTCATGTAAGCGTTTTATTCTCAAATTAACGAGGCCAAGTCGGAGTTGAAGATTTCTTCCCATCTGGTCAACCTTGCATGGAAACAGCCTACCGCCTCTAAGAGAAAAAAAAAAAAATTGAACTGCCAAAATAAAATAACTGATGCTTTTTTAAAATAAAATTTTTATTTTGAAACAATCTCAACTGTACTATGGAAAAGTTGCAATTACAGTAAAAAGAACTTTCCATGTATATTTCCTACGCACCAAGATATTCCCCTGCATGACCCACCATCAGAGTCAGGGAATCGGCAGTGACCAATGCTGCCATCTCATCCGCAGGCCCCATTCCATTTCTCCAGTGGTCCCAATAATGTCCTTCATAATCAGAGGGTCCGGTGTAGAATTAGCTGTTGTTATCAGTTGCTATTTCTCTTTAGTTTCCTTAAAGTCTGGAACAGCTCCTCTGTCTTGACTTTGGCTACTTCTGAAGGATGCAGGCAGCTTCTTTGTAGAGGGCCCTCAATGTGGATTCCTCTGAGGTTTCCTCTGATGAGACTTTATGCACTTTTGGGAGGAGTTTCATGAAGTGATGCTGAGTCCTCATTGCATCCTGTCAAGAGGCATGTTATCTCGAGTTGCCCCATTCCTGAGGTTGTCCACTTTGACCACCTGATTAAGGTGGTTCTGCCAAGCTTCTTGCACTATAAGATTACTTTTTTCCTTAAGGAAGTATTGGAAACTATATAAATAGTCTATTTCTCATCAAACTCAAGTATTACCATGTTTTCAGTGTGTTGTTACCCATTACAATCATTACATGGTGTTCAAATTTGCCCCTGGTTTGGGAGCTCCTTCACAGTGGCCTCTGGGTGCCTTTGATGAACCACCTGCTGATGCTTCCTGAAGGGTTTAATTCGTGTCGTGTCTAATCTCATTCCCCACTCATGGTGTTGCTCATGGTATATTCCGAGGCTGGATAGGTGGGTTTGGTTATCTAGGTTTTTTTCTTCCCAGATTTCTGCTCCACCTCACTCTACAAAAATTGTTACGCTTTTTTTTTTCATATTAAATTTTTTTTCCTTTTATTGAATTTATTGGGGTGATACTGGTTAACAAAATTCTACAGGTTTCAGGTAGACAATTCTACAACACATCTGTATACTGTATGGTGTGTTCACCACCCCCAGTTATGCTACTTTTAAGAATGTCATTGATAAAATGGGGAAAGCATTACTACATAAAAGCAAATCAGGTAAATAAGACAGTCCTTTTTTTCAGGGAGTTCACAGAAGGATACAAACATCTAAACAGAGTATGACAAGGCCCAGTGGAGAGAAGGGTGCACAGGGCCGCAGAGGACGCAGCACCGAAAGAAAAAGCATATCTGGGCTGTGTCCAAGAGATAGATGATCACGACTGAAGAGAGAATTAAAACCGTCTGTGTGTTTCCTTAGCATGTGGACGGGGCAGTCCAGCCACACTGGCAGGTAGTGCTCACCCCTGAGAAGAGGAGGGAGACAGCAACATTTGTTCCAAAGAACTTTTTCTTAGGTGTGGCGGTGAAAAGTCCACGTTGTCTTACAGCCAAGGACATTCCATCTTTCAAGAGCACAGTAAGTCTTAAGCTGGAAAGACCCAAATTCATCAGCTTCCATCCCTCCTCTTTGCTAACACCCGCACTTCCTCGCACAGAACTCATCGCCCAAGCTACAACTCAAGAATCATCATCAGTTCTGCTGGTAACCAGTCATTTACTATTTAGAAATGTGTCTGACATCTGTCCCTTCTATTGTTCCAACAGACACTGACCTAGTTCGGGCCGTCACCACCTTTCCTAACATGTACTTGGCCTCCTAGCTCATCTCCTGTTCCCATCTCACACACACAAGCAGGGCTGCCTTTACTCAGCTTAACGGCCTAAACTCAGCCTAACTACACATGGACTTTTGCGATCTGATATCAACCCTCCTTAGCACCTGTCCCACTGCCTTTCCCCCAAGTGGGTTTATTGCCATTCCCATGAAGCCCCATGTTCTCTCAGCCTTTACTCACAATGTCCCCACTACCCAGAATGCATCCTGCCTACCACCAAACACAGAGCCCATTTCCTGGCTTGAAATGCCACTTCCTGAGAAGTTTCCCTGTCCCTCCCTCTGCCTGTTGTGCTGTCCTGGACTGTGGCTCTTACGTTAGATCAGCTCTATTTATGTACCAGATTGAGTTTCTCCGTGATGGAGTCCCTACTCATTTTGACATCTATAGCACTTGACACATAAGAACAAAACAACTTTTTAATAACACAATTGAATCGCCTAATGGCACGAAGCACAATTAGCATTGGGGAGATTTTATTTTTAATGAAAGTTTATTGTCACCGTGGCCGATGTGGCTCGGTTGAGCATCGTATCATACATCAAAATGTTGCTGGTTTGATTGCCACTCAGGACACATGCCTGGGTTGCAGGTTTGATGCCCCAGTAGGGGACATGCAGGAGGGTATGTTTCTCACATCGATGTTAAAAAAAAAAGTTTATTGTACAAAATTAAGGCCTTCACATTTCATAGTTCACTGAGGCTAAAGAAAGATGATACTTTTTAAAAACCTACACAAAAATTTCACTTTCACTTCTCCCCACCCCCAACTATTAAAATGGCCTGACCAAATGTTATCAAAACAAACACTATAAGTAACACTAAGTCCTTTAAAGAACTATCCCAAATGTTATTTCTTGGCATAGGTGATCATGGCACAGGGCAGTGGGACCTTAAGTCCTCGTAAAGCTTCCCTGGAAGCTCCAGGCTTTCCATCGCCTTCAAATTCAACAACTGCAATGTCATGCCTCCCGGCTACCAAGCGTATTTCCTTGAAACCAGGGAACTGATTAAGCAGCATGGATAACATCATCTCATTAGTTTCTCCTGGTAAATTATTAAGGAATAAAATAGAGTTTGGAGGGTAATCAGGGCCCTGAGGATCTGGTGTTGCAGTTCCTCGAGTGTTAGCTGAATGGTGCTCCCTCGCCAGGCATCTTCTTTGCTGTCATCACTGTCTGTCCCACAGTTTTGCCTTTTTTCTCAGCAAAGATGCCCCACATTTTAGATATCAAATCAGAATCTGGTTTTGTGTACTGGATGGATATTTTTTCCATTGCTTTTCAAAGAGAGTGGAAGGGGGAGGGAGAGAAATATTGATGTGAGAGAGGGACATTGACTGGTTGCCTCCTGCAACTGAGGCATGTGCCCTTGGCCGGAATCACACCCGCGACCCTTCAGTCCAAACCGGCCAGGGCCCCAGTTCTTTAAGTACAACAAAGGCTTGCCCTTCATCTTCATGGTCTTTAAAGCCACAATAGCTACCACAAGGCCAAACTGAGAAAACAGGGCGTGCAGGGATCGCTTCAATTCCTTCTTAACTTTGTCATTCACATTGTTGATATAAATGGCATGGTTTGGTCTGATACCCATCTTTTGGGCTAAGCTGTTCAGATAGCCAGAGGCTGTTGCGGTATCCCATAAGAACTGAACGTTGGGGGATTTGATGGAGACTTTACGTTGTTTTCACCCCAGGTACCTACCAAACTGGGACTTCACAGCTCCCTAAAGAGAAACCAGCAAAGCTTTGGAGGTGGGGCGTCCTCTGGTATTCAGTTACTCCTGGAGTCCCTTTAGCAATACTTTTCCCTGGCTATGCCCAAATTAAACTGTTTCCTAAGAGCTTGGCCTACAAGAGCATTCTCCAGAACAAAAGCTTTAAAGGGGAGATTATATGTATTTATTACAACTGAAATTCTAATTACCTTCTCCTTTTGCACCAGACAGGAAAACCTGCTCTCCTACGCTGGCTGACCAGGAGTGAGCCTGGTAAGTAAGTGGACAATGGGTTCTTCTTTTCATACCCCAGCTAGCTTCACTGGCTTGGACTTTCTTGAAATTAATATTGCGGAAAGATAGACAAGTTTCACAATAACTGAAAACTTTACAAGCTGAGCCACTGAGTGAGGGAAATAGCTTAGTTCAGGGAGCTCTAGAAATGCTGCTTTGTAACATATAAGGAAATCTGTTTATTTAATTAAAAAGTCCTCTCTGAAAGTGGGATCAAAAGCTAATTGATTCAGCAAACACTTCTGAGCACCTACTTCATGCGGGCTTTTTAAAAATTGTCTTTTTTGTTCTCAGCTCTCTAAGAACTTGGATGTGGAAGGAATGTTCAGAATCTCTAATCCTTTAATGGATTATAGTTTGTAGTCCATCTTAGATTCATTTATTAAAAATGAACTTATTACCCGGCTGGAGTGGCTCAGTTGCTTGAGTGTCATCCTGTGCACCAAAAGGTTGCTGGTTTGATTCCCGGTCAGGGCACACACCTAGGTTTCAGGTTCGATCCCCTTTAGAGGCGCATACGGAAGGCAACTGGTGGATGTTTCTCTCTCACATCAATGTGTGTCGCTCTCTCTTTCTCTCTCTCTCTCCCTCTCTCTTTCTCTCTTCCTTTCTCTAAGCATGTCCTTGGGTGAAGGTTAAAGCAAACAAACAAAAAATGAACTTAGTGTGCCCACTTTAGTTTACACCCTGCATGGCACAGGTGGCATGGGATGGGGAAGAAGAGGAAGGTGGATTTATAAACATGATCTTCCTAATATATCAGCTAGACATATAGTATCTTCATTTTATATTTGAGAAAACTGAGGCTCAGAGAGGTTAAGCAGCTTGTCCTTGGTCACACAGCTAAATGGCACCTGGGGATTCAAACTCAAGGCTGTTCACGCTAAAGCGTTTGTCATTTTTCACATCCTCCTGGCTTCTTTGGCAGGAAGTGGACTTCTGTGTCACGTCTCCTGGGGAACTACTAAACTGTTCTGCCTGCATTACATGTGACTTGTAGTAATAACCATCTTTGTTAGGTAGTGTATATGTTTCTTTTCCTTGAACTCAACCAACTAGTATCAGAAACCTACACAGCAGCCAATCAGTAAACTTTGAAGTTGGGAGAAACAGAGGCATGTCTGGTCAGCCCCTGGAGAGGGAGAGAACTGCCAGCCATGAGGACTCGCTGCCTCCTGCATCCCCAGCCTCCTCAGCACCCAGAAACAACTTGCAGTGTCCTGTGAGGCTAAAATGCTGCCGTGATGGGAGCCCCCCTGCCCAGGCTTGATGTCCAGGTTCCAGGCCTTAAAATTCTGGTTGCACCAGCGTTAGACCCCCACCCCCACCCTCACCCCCAGCATCTGCACCTGCGCCCAGGGCCTCGGGTTTTCTGTTCACTTCTTCCTGATGACCTTCCAAGCATGTGTCAGGGCAAACCTAAGTGCCAGGCTCCATTCTTGGCCCTCCCTGTTTTCTGAGACTCTGTCCACTTTGATCATTTCTACTGAGTCCAGATCAGAACATCCCAGCAAAGTGAGGGAGTGTGTAAACCAAGGAAAAAGAAACACACAGAACAGAGGGGTCCCACACAGGAGGGAGGATGGCTTTGCCCCAGCCCAACAGGGCCACCAGTCCAGGCTACAGCAGTGACTCAGAAAACGGACGTGTTAAGGGTTATAGTCACATAACCCTATAGCCGACCGTTCTACAGTCTTTTGAACATGAAGACAATGTCCAAGGTGTGCCTGGTTCTGTTGGTTCACTGAAGTCCACACTTTGCTTCCTAGAGCACTTGGAGGCACTGATTCCACTTCAGACACAGCTGCTTTTCCAGCCTCCAGCAGCCAGGGTGAGTGTGGAGGCAGAAACGCCAGAGCAATCCACGCCCTCTGATCTCGTTTCTGCTGGACAAGTGGCACCTGCTTCACACTGCGCCCTGCCACCTGCCCTCAGAGGGGCCCTGGTCAACCCTAAGGGAAGCTGAAGCCAGACCCTGCTCAGGCTGCCTTGGGGCACTATGAGTCCAATGGGGACAGTGTCACCCTTGCCCTGCAAAGGGAGGTTTGCTCTTGCTCAGCTTTTCATAATGAAACAATGGTGTTTTTTTTAGAGACCCACACATAGGTAAGACAATTAAAAAGAAATGCAAGGCCCGGCCAGTGTGGCTCAGTTGGCTGAGCATTGTCCCATGCACCATGAGGTTGCTGATT